TCTCCCATCCCTCATCTCATTGGAGAGCTCTTTTACCCCCAAATTTTCAGGCTCACTCAGAATCAAAGTGCAAAGCTCCCATCACTCTCTGTGATCAGTGTGTACCTGGGGGTTGTTCAGGAGCCCAGGTACTGGTTGGTCCTGGCTCTGCCTGTGGTCACTTTTGTCACAGGGCCTGGGATAGGACTGGCCACACTGAATGGAAAAACCAAATCTATTGGAAGTAGCCTCGATTCTCTTAGCTAGGTATCCTTACCCAGTGGGAATTTTTTTCCTTCATTAAGCCATCTGTCCTTTATTCAATACTTGTGTGGCGAGTACACGTTAGGGACCAGGGACACAATAAGGATTAAACACAATACTTCACCCAAGAAGCTCTCTGGATCATGGAGGACACAGCACCAGGTGTGGACAACTCCATATAATGAGTGCTGTATTAAGACTGAAGGGTGTGTTGGGGGTAGGCTTCCCTGAGGAGGGGACATTGGAGCTTTGGGTGTGGAAGGTCAGGAGATAGACAAGTTGGGATGGGGATGTATGCTAGGCAGCTTGGGCTGCAATAAGAAATTACCACAGACTTGGGGATCTGAACAACAGAAATGTATTTCTCACAGCTCAGGAGGTGGGAATTCAGAAATCAAGTGCCAGCCTGCTCAGGTTCTGAGGAGGGTTCACTTCCTGGCTGGCAAGTGGCCACCTTTTTGCTATGCCCTCACATAGTGGTGGAGGTGGGGAACAAGCTCCCTGGTGTCTCTTCTTAATAAAGCCACTAATTCCATTATGGGGGCCCCATCCTCATGATGCACTTTACTCCCAAGAACCCAAGATTGAGCTTAGATCTCAATCTATGAATTAGGGGAGCATAATTCAGTCATAGCAGCATGTGTATTGTGGGGAATGAAGCAGGGTCTTTCAGGCTGAAGAAAAGCCTGGACAAAGGAAAGGATACAAGCACCACCAGAGCCTGTCAGGATCCAGAGGCAACTCAATATGGCGGGAATACAAGAGCACTGTTGGTGATAGTGAGAGATGAGGCTGAGGACCCAAGGACCTATTCCTCCCCAAACTAACGGCCTCCAAATCACCTGGCACGCTTATTGGAAAACAGATTCCTGGGCTTTCCTCCACCCTACGGAACTGGAATCTCCATGAGTGAGACCTTGGAATCAGCCTTAAGTAGCACCCCAGAGAGTTTACACAGGAACTGGGCAATCTCCAGCCTAGAATTCTGAGGGAGCCCAGGGAGGGTTTCAAGCAGGGACAAAGCAGGTGCATGGTTGACCCGCCCTGACTTCTCTTGTCCCTCTGTTGAAAGAATTGGGGGCTGCTGAAGGCCCAGGGGCTATGAATAATGGCTGCCCAGCCTTCTTGTTCTCATGGCAACACGTGCCCATGGCTAAGGCGAGTGACGGTGGAACTCAAGTTTTCCGTTGGACAAACTCCTTTATGCTGTACAGTAGAGGCATGGCAGAGATGTCCCTGCCACCCCATTCCTACTCCATCTGGGCCCTTACCGCATGACCTCGAAGGCCATCTCATCTCTCCCTTCATCCTATGTGGGGCCTGAATTCACATGCCACACTGCTCCTCCTAGCTCAGGCTGAGTGTTCAGGGCATGTTGGGAGAGGTGGGGAGGAGGGGAGGCTGTGCTTTATCTGAGGCTTCTCGGGATATGGTGGCCTTCCCTGTTCATTCAGATGAAGGAAGAGGGCTACAGGGTCACTATTTGCCATGTGTTTTTTTCTCCTAGATTTCTCTCCAAAAGATAGTAACAAAACATTTCCGATCTACAAGGAAATAAGTAGCCCCAGCCTAGAGTGCATCAAGCTTAAGGCGAGGGGGTGGACTAGACCACCCTCCAGGGCTCCCACTTCACAGGACTCTGGAGACCAAGCTTCTCAACCTGAAGAGTCCCTGAGGCCTCAACCAGGCCCACACCAGCCCTCCTCCGCAGTCTCATCCTGTCCTTTCTGGGCATTTTTTGGTTTCATTTTTATCAGGCCTGCATACCTCCATGTTAGTGCACATGCTAATTTCTGCTTTAAATGCCTTCTCCCACCCGTCTCTTCCCCTCTATCTGCTCATTGAGACCCAGTTCTCCCTGACCTCCATCCTACCCAGCATACCCTTCCCACCTCAATCTAGCTGTTCCTGAGAGTTACCTGCGCCACCCTTTGCTAACCCGAGTGGGAGCACTTACACAGAACTCTCTGCCCCTGCCCCTGCCTTGCTCAATTTGACCAGAATTCCAGGGCAGGATCTGTGGTGCTACATGTTGTTCCCCAGTCCCCGACACAGGAGGAGTTCAACAAATGTCTGCTGAACCAAGCAGAATACAGATGAATAAGAAATGCCCTCTGAATGTGGATGCCATGATAATCTGATAGCATCCTACAAAGCTTATTGGTATCTTTAGGAGGGGTGACTTTTATAGCCTCTGAATAGATGTGATACCCCATCCCTCTCCTTGCAAAATAACAAATTTAATGAGTAAACCAGAGGTGATTATTTGCATCCCCAAAGGTGGGGGGGGCAGGTTTCCTTTAAACATTAAACCTTCGCTGGAATTTTCAGAAATTCCTTACAGATCATTAACTTCTAGAGGAGGGTGGGAGCAGGGGTCATGGAGAAATTACCTTTTAGAGTCTGAGTTCAGAGAAGGCCTCTCTGAAAATCGTGGAAGCAGGCAAAACTGGGTCCAGATTCTATCTCTGCTAGCTGTGTGGATTTGGGTAAGTCCCTCAATCTCTCTGTGTCCCAGGTTTCCTTATCCCTAAAATGGAGACCCATTACTCTTATTTTACAGGGTTGTTGTAAAGATTTAGAAGAACCTCTATGAAGTGCCTTCGCTTATAGGAGGTTCCCAGTAATAGTAACAGCAATGCTGTTAGGTTTGACATTGCCTGTAGAAGAAAAGAAGGGGTCTCGTGTGGTGTGCAGGATTTGACCACTGGACTACAAGAATAAGGAAAAATCAAAGAATCCAGAAAGGACAGGCCAGAGCACCGGGCAGCATGTTTTTAGAATCACAACCTTTCATGATTTTTTTCACAAATTCTTTGATTTTTTTTTTTAACTCTGTCTTTCCATGTTGAACTTGTAGATACTGGTGACAGTGCTGTACAGTGTGTTGTCTGAGGGTTTTGAACTCTAGAAGACCTGCCACTTACTGGTCCTATGTCCTTGGACACTCAACTAGACTCAGTTTCCTTATCTGAAGAAAGGGAGACCACGGTACTTAAGATTGCAATGGGATTAAAGTGCTTAGCCATACATTTGGTGCAAGGTACACCATCCACAGATGGTACCATAACTATATTGTGATGGGATCAATACTAATAAACAGAGCAGTAAATGCCCAGTTTGAGGAACTACTAGCTCTAGAAACATGGAGGAAGTGGTCACAGACCCTGAAGACTACCCATAACAGAGCTATGTGACCCTGGCTCTGTTCCTTTACATAGAGGGTTTACCCTGGATAATCTCTCAGGTTCCTAAATTGGCCCCAGGCCAAGTAACTGTAAACTACTGGCAGTTCCCCAATGGTGGCTGTCAGCCCTCGGTGCCTCTGCCTGCCCAGCTGCCCCTCCTCACCTTCTGCAGGGAAATCCTCCTTATTGGAGGCCAGCCCCTCTGGGAACCTCCCCTTCCATGATCTGCTCATGCACTTGACACTGCCATGGCCTTTCCTGTTGCTATACCTGCCATTGAGAGGTGACTCAGTTCACAGGTTCAAATACTCCATTCTGAGGGTGAAGCTTTTTACCAAAGGAAAGATGGATGAACGAACACTTCCTTTTTTGTAGAGATTTCTGGAATCTCCTGGATCCTCTCTTACTGTTTCTGTCTTCTGTGGAAAAATGGGTCCGGTAATAGTTGACTCGGTCACCTCCTTCCAGGAGAGAGAAAGAAGTCCATCGCAAGTTTGGATCACAGCTGTAGGCTAAGTCCTTTGCTGCTCCTTTCTCCCAGGTATGGAGAAAGTGACAAGTCTGATCCTGAGGACCGATACCCGCCCAAAGCAGCGGGCCACGCAGGTACCAGTTCTCGCCTTGGCAGACCGGACCAGCGAACCCACGTCCACAGCGGGTTACTCTAGCTCCTCTACAAAGCGGGAGACAATGTCCTTGACCTCGGAGGAAAGGGCGCCCTAAGACCACGGAGATGGCCCCACCGAGAGGTCAGCCAAAAAGTTGCCTACACAAAAGGCATTCCTCGGCGTCCACCCGGCGCAGAGCCTGGTGTAGAGTTACAGGCGGCTGCGGAGTGCAGGAGCGTGTCGCTCCTCCGCTCCGGCCGCGTCGAGCGGCGTCCCCAGCCCCGAGCTGGGGGACCCAGCGCCCCGAGCGCGCCTCCGCCTCGGGCCGGCCGTTCTCTCCGAGCAGGGGTCCGGTCAGGCGCCCTGGCCCTGCGGCCCTCGGAGCGCCCGACCCCGTGGTCCCCAAACTCGGGGCGCCACCCTCAGTGACCTCCGCCCCCTTGACGTGCGGGAGGCCCGCGCTGTGGCCCGCGGCGCGGAGCAGCGCTCCCGGGGCCTGGCCGGAGCCCGGGGCCGGGACGGCTGGGGGTGGGGAGGCCGAGGTCCCGGCTCCTCCAGCCCCTTCCGCTGCCCCTCCTCTCTGCCCTCCTGCTCCCTCTTCTCTTCCCGGCCGGGCGGGCGCCGGCCTGGCCTCCTTCCCCTCCAAGGCGAAGCCACGAACTAGCGGCCGGTGCGCTTCCTTCGCCGCCCGCGCCCGCCGCCGCCCGACCCGTCCTGGACCCAGGCCGCGGCCCGCGGGGCGGCTGCTCCGGCCCGACCCACCCGGCCCGGGGCTCCCGCGGAGCCGGGGAGAGGCCCGGCCTCGTCCTCCGGGGCCCCGGGTCGTGCGCGCCCCGAGGGGCGAGGCCTGCGGGCCGCGCTCCCGCCCGCCGCTCGGATTCGGGGCTGGAAGTCCCTCCCCGAGTTCTGCAGCGGGCCTGGGAGGGAGAGAGGGCTGAGGAGGGCCTCGCCTCTCCGAGGGATGGAGGGGATGGAGGCGGCGGCGGCCAGACCTGCCAGCGGCAGCCCTCAGTGAGTATGGAGGAGGCGAAGCGCGGGAGGGGCGGGGGGCCGCCGAGTGGGGACCCGGCCGCCGCCGCCACCGAGCGCGAACCGAGGCCCTTCACGTCCATCTCCATTTAAGCTTCTCTGAGTTAGAGCGAATGCAAGGCTTGGGTCATAGAATCAGACGGCTGCGGCAGAACCATCTTCCCGGAAGGCTGCCCAGGTGCCTCAAGGCGAGGGCCCCTTCTTTAAGGCTAGTCTCCGGACAAGGATCATCTGGAAGGCTGTTCGAAAAGCTCTTTTAATTTAACCGAAACTGCTTGTATTAGATTCTAATCCCGTTTTCTGGATTGACTCATAGAAGAGAGGGAGAGGTGGCTGGGCCGGAAAGAGAAGCATTCTAGATTAACTGGTACAGCAAATGGTTTCTGTCCTAAAGACCGTCCCTAAACTTCACTGGCTTAAAAATAATACGAGAGTTTGCATTATACGTGTCTTTTGCTGTACAAAGCACACATTTCTGAGACGTTATTTATATGCTGAATTGTAATAAGCAACTCTAGAGGGAATTGCTACTTCAGAGTATTTTGTGATGAATTTTTAGTCCATGTGTGAAGGGAATAATTTTCTCCTAATTTGTAGTTTATGCACATAGGGATTTTCATAAATGAAGTTTACTTCAAGTGGGACACATCTAGATGTATGTTGAGTAGCATTTTCCTAGAGAGCAGAGCAACTAGTAAGACTTCATGGCATGTATGCACACAGGTAACACTTTGAATAAAATCCTGGTGCATGTTTTCTTTCCCTGTGAAGCAGTTAACATCAGCCGTGCCACTGAGGAGCAATGTAATGCTGGCAACTCACTTAACCTTTGTGGACTGAACGGTCTCATCTGCAGAATAACTGGAGGAGGTCGTGTGATCACTAAGTGTTTTTGAAGAGTCCTGGGCTTGGAATGAGAAACTTTTGCATTCCAAACTGGGCAGGCCCCTCTTAGCACATGTGTGATGTGATCTGTGCCTCAGTTTTCCCCCTCTGTACAAGTGAGGGTCATGACATCATTCTGGCAGCATTCTGTCCAAATTATTTGAGAGAGTGCTGTGGAAAGCACTCGAAAGGATTTTGCCTAGCATAGGGCAGATGCCCCCATAGGAGTTCAAGGTTGATTAAGGTTTCCCTTTGAGCACAGCCTCATCAATCCCATGCTGTGATCTGAGGCTTGCGGGTGGGTGGTTTGGAAGGCAGCTCTTCTCGCTGGAGGGTCAACTCCAGCCTGTCATCTCTCAGAGCTCCCTCATCCACAAGGAAGAGCATGTTGGCCATTAGCAGGCACTGATGTTCTGCACTGAGGCTACCTTTCAGTGATGCAGGAAGGCCAGGGATTGGGGACTCACCCTGGGTTTCCCTCTGGTCCACATTCGGCAAAGGGTTAATTGCTGTTTGAACTTCATTATGTCCACTTGTAGAATGGGGATAGAAATACTAGAATACTACTCAGACTTGAAAGTAAAAGTTCACTAACCCTCCCATGATTTACACTTTTCAAAGTGCTCTCACTGTGTCCAGAGGCCACCCTGCTCTGACTCCAGCTTACTTGGTGTGGATAGGACTCTAGACAAGACACTGGGGGGAGGGTGTGTTTGAGCCATCCTGGTGCTGAATCTCAGGCTCTCTGTCTATTTTCTCCTCCAGAGGGTCCAACACAGGAAGCAGAATAGCCACCGCCATGCAGGTGACCTCGGCTGTGGAGAGAAATGGTCCTGAGCCACAACCAGACAATGGACCTCTCCTGAGACCCTGGCCTAACTCTCGGGAAGACAGAACACCCAGCCTGATGGCCCTCAAGCCTCCCAGCACATGGAGGGTGCGGGTCCAAGGCCCCTCTGTGCTGGAGTCCAAGGTGAGGGCTTTGAAGGAGAAGATGACAGCAAGTAAACAAGGGGCCAGCTCCTGCCCCACCTCCCACGAGCAGTCATCCCCCCAAAAACCCAAATGCCGACGAGTCAAAGCTGGAGGGATTCAGGCCCCACCAGAGGGCTGTTCCCTACCAGAGGGCATGGTGGCCTCCCATGCTCAGAACCCATCCAATGAGCCCCTGGACAGCAGTGTCAATGAGGGGGAACCTTCCAGAAATGGGGGCTCCAGGCCTCCCTGGTCACCTGCCCTTAGGCTGGAGTGCTGGAATGGGCAGAGCCCGTGGTCTCCAGAAGCAACATGGATGTTGCCTGATGGTGAGAAGGGTCTGCCACCAGAGCCTGGCTCTTTGCAAGAGAGCCTCTCCCATGGAATTACTCCTGGACGCCTGGGGGGGCCTGGTCCTTGGAAAGTCACCCACATGCCCAGCCTGAAGAAAGGAAGGCCATGTGCCCTTCAAGATGGTCTGGTTGAAGTGAGAGACTTGGACAGCACTCCTCTGACCTCTGAGGAGAACTTTGTCCCCAGAGCAGCCCTGCTGCCAGGGCTCTGGAGACCTGGAGACCTGGAGGCTCTGGGCACTGGGGGCAGTGTCTTGTCCCTGTCTGACCAAGTGGAAAGGAATCGCCTGCTGCTGCAGGAGATGCTGAAGGTCTCAGGACAGAGCCCTCCCAAGGTGGAGACTCCAGCCTGGACTCCATCCTGGGATACAGCTGCACCAGGTGAGGCTCATTCTGCAGGTCTGGGTGGGGCGGCCGAAGGGAGTCCAGTGCGAGGGAAAAGAAAGGGGTGCTTGGTTGGGAGCAGAGAAGGAAGGAGAGCACAGTTGTCTGTCACCAAAATCATAAATGTCCTCTTGGCTTTGACATAGGTTCTTTTTTTTTTTTTTTAATTTTTTGGTAGTTGTAGATGGACAGGATGCCTTTATTTTATTGTTTATTTTTTATATGGTGCTGAGGATCAAATCCAGTGCCTCACATGTGCTAGGCAAGCGCTCTGCCAGTGAGCCACAGCCCTTGACATAGGTTCTTTACCAGCTCACAGGCAGCCCTGCCTGGTAAAACGCCCCCTGACCCTCCAGATCAATGAGAAGCCACCCTCTGGGCTTAGGGGTAGAAGCTACTATAACTTCTTCCCTGTGTCTTTACCCCTTCCCATGGTGGCCTTTTAAACTTGCTCCAGTGACATGCCTTACCCCCTGGTGGACCACATCACCCTCTGGGGCAAGCAGAAATGTGTATCTCACAGTTCTGGAGGCTGGGAGTCCAAGATCAAAGAAGCATAGAAATCAGATTTCTCACTGTGTTCCCAGGTGGTAGAAGACCTTCCCAGCAGAGAGGCTGAGCGTCCTACCCGCGGGGCCCAGCTCCTGCAGTGGAGCTGCAGGGAGGTGCTAGGGTTCTGACCCAGCAGACAGCCTTCTTCATAAGCTCATGTGTCACCCCCACCTGAGGGCACATGTGGTCCTCTCAGCCCACACCAAGCCTACCTACAGTCATCATGACAGACTGTGCCTGCATTTCTTTGACTGAGACACAGGCAAGCTGTTGGGTTTATCTGGGGTAAATTACTGGAGAAATCTCTCTCCTTGGTGTCAGTTAGAGGCACTTGAGAGCCCCATTTCTGCTTCTGTTCTCTTATCTCTGCTTCTATTCTGGGCCCTAGAACGACCCTCAGGGGACGTGGACCGGGACTCGGGCATCTCTCTGCAGGACTCAGACCAGAACAGGTAGGAGTTCAGAGCCTGCATTTTCTCTCCCTCCTTCTTCACTGTTGTCCCTCCATTTCCTCTGCAGCAGGACACTAGGAGACTGTGCAAAACCAGACAGCAAACCCCAACAAACCCCATGCTGGTGGACAGTGGGCCCCTGGATCATCAGCCCTGAGACCCCATAAAAAGTGTCAATGGCTCCCAGTGCCCCAGGCTGCTGCCTACCTGCTAGTTAGGGAAAACCACCAGGTACAGAGGTGTGCAAAGAGCTTTGCCTGCTGTGTGTCCTGGGGCCATTTCCCCTGCCCAGGCCTGTCTCTTTATCAGTGAAATGGGAGAATTGTAGTTGTTGGGTTACTTCATAGGATTATGGTGAGACTAAAAAATGCGATAATGGCTGTGGCAATCTTAGGGAAAGTACATGAATGTTCTTTTCCTAATCAAGGGTATGTGCAGGGGTCAAGGTCTTCACCTCCAACCTCACTATGATATCTACAGACTTTTTTCCCTAGCCTCTCCACCAGTGTTCTGTGGATTTGGATGTGCTGGAGTGTGATGGGGGAATTGGGGACACCTGTCCTTCACAGGCAGTGTCCTGAGCCAGGCAGGGTAAGAAGAGTGTGCACAAGGTGGGGCAGGGGCCACCGTAGGCCTGAGCTGCTGCTGTGCCTGTGCAGAGGTTGGCCTCAGCCTCCATCTTTGCTGGACTCTTGGCACATGAGGCTGAGAGAGGCCCTGGGGCTGGGAACGGCTCCCTTTTCCCCAGCTGCACAAGTGATGTCAGCCTCTCCAGGGTCTTGTGGTTTCTGCTGAGGGCAGAGGTCAGCATTGTTGCTGCCCCATGAGCGGCCGCTCCCTGCATGAGTTCTGTTAGTTTGACCAGCCCTTCAGAAAATGTGGGCAGGGCCTCTCTTAGTCCATTTGTCTTAGTCCAAATGTCTTAGTCCATTTGGGCCACTGTAACAAAATGCCATCAGCTGCGTGGCTTACAACAACAGAAATGTGTATCTCACAGTTCTGGAGGCGAAAGTCCAAGATCAAAGAGCCAACAGATTCAGTGTCTGGTGAAGGCAGGTCTCCTGGCTCATAGATGTCACTTTCTCACTCTATTTTCACATGGTAGAAGGAGGCCAGAATGCTCTCTGGGGTCCCTTTACAAGGGCACTAATCACCTCCCAAAGGCCTCCCTTCCTAATCGCATCACACTGGGGATTAGGATTCAACATATGAATTTGGGGGGACCAGAGTAACCCCTGGCCCTGCACTCTGTTGTAACAAAGCAGGGGCTGCCCAGTCAGGTGATTTAGCTTCTGCTTGCTGAAGGGTCTGGTGGAGAAAACCCTCAGTCTTCTCCCACTTCTGAGGCCACTGTGGTCAGCCTCTTGTCTCCTCCTTACCTGACCTTGCCAGCAATGAGGAGTGTGGCTGCAGGAAGGACTGTGGTCCTCGGGGATGCTCTGCTCGCCCGCCCTCCTTCTGTCCTCGCCCCACCTTCCCTGTGGAGCCCTCAGAGGAGGTGACCTGGGCAGGTGCACCTGGGTCCTGCGGAGGTAGCACCCCTTTCCCTGCAGCTGCTCCTCCCACCCCCACCCGCCACCCTTGATGTGTGTATATGATGGGTGGTACAAGTGTGTCAGGGATCGGGGAGGAGAGGTGACTTAGTGAACTTTAGGACCCATTCCAACACTAACAAAACGTCCCCTTAAAATGCCTAGCGGAGGGGCTGGGGTTGTGGATCAGTGGTAGAGTGCTCGCCTAGCATGCTTGAGGCACTGAGTTTGATCCTCAGCACCACATAAGTGTAAAATAAGATGTGTCCACTTAAAACTAAAAAATAATTTTTTTTTTTTTTTTTAAAATGCCTAGCAGAAAGGAACACAGAGTTGACATGAGGGTCATGTCCCATGTAGGCAGATACTCAGGCTGAAGGGCCAGGAAACATGGCCAGATTCAGGGAGGGAGAAGTACCCGCCATACCATGGCATATCCTCTGAGAGGCTCCTTATCTGGCTCCATTCTTGAGCCTTCTGGGTGGACATGAAAGTGTCCCCAAGACACCTCAGGGCTCCATATCCCCCTTAAGTGGTTTGCTGATGTCACTTCTATAGAGCCAGACTTCACAAGAGGTCTTTGAGGTAAGGCATGCTCTCTCAGCTGTGTACCCTGGAGGACCACAAGGTCAGGGTCCTGGACTTAGTGTCCATACTAAGTGGTTTAGGACCCCTTGCAGAGAAGCACTCTGAGAATGGCTGATTGTCATGGACATTCAAGGACATGCAAAAGGCAGGGCCTTTTCAGGGAGGAGTGAGAGCCTCAGCTCTTCTCAGGGTTGAGGAATAAGCAGCCCTGCCTCACACCTCCTCAAGCTCCGCATTCATGCAGCTTCTTGCTCCACTCAGAGAGCCATTACGACCAGGCAACCCACCATGGACTTCATTATGTCCATACTTCCTACTGCTCTATAAGGTAATGAGACAAGAAGCTCATGAAATGAGGGTGACTACAGAGCCCAAATTAGCACTTGGGGTGGGGGGGCTGGTCCTGTTTGCTGGGAGGTAGTCCTAGGGAATCAGCTGCTGAGATGAGCCATCCAAAGATCCAGGATCTTCAATGCAAAGGGTCAGATGCAGAGGAGACCTCCATCCCAACTTCAGTGTTGTCCTGTTCTACTAAGAGGCAAGAGAAGGCTCAGCCCCAAAGGACTGGACCATCCCAGTGGCCAGTCCAAAGGCCAGGCCCACAGCTGCTCTTCTCCAGCCTTATGCACAGGTGCTGCGCTAAGTTCCTGCACTTCCACTTTATCCCAATGACAGACCTTATGTGCTGCTCCTGGGTCACTGACAGAGACCATTACGTTTCAGGGCCACAAACTGTCCTTCCCATCCCCCCCACAGGCCATCCTTGGGCTAGGGGTCTGGGGATCTTGTGTATTGTATGATTTGTGTGTGTGTATATATGATGGGTGGAATCTCCTCAGGTGTGGGCACTGAGGTATAGGAGACTCCATGGAATAAGCTTGTTGTCTCTTGAGTGTCACTGAGGTGTTCAGGCTTGGAGTCTTGATGGGAGGGAGAGGATACAGGGAGACGTGGGGCCTCAGAGAGTGTAAAGGGCTCACTGGAGAGAGGTGGGAGAACAGGGAATGGGTGCTGTGCTTGGGGAGCCTCTGCCATCATCCACACCTGGCAGCCGATGGCTGTGCTGTCACTTGCATCCAAGGGCTTAGATCCAAAATGTTCTTCTCTATAAAATGGCCACAGCCATCTCCATCTGTCTCTTCCTGGAGGCTCTGAGAGACATACTGGGATTACAGAGTGCCTGAGGATCCCACATGAATCAGCATGAATGGAATTGTTGAAACCAGAGGAGCAGCAGTCCATGCAGGGCTGGCTTCAGACCCCAGGCCACAGGGCGTCTGGCTGATGCAAGTGCCTGGGTGGCCCCAGGCCTGGGGGCCCTCCCCAGCAGGCAGTCTCCACTGAGAGGCATGCTGCATGCCCAGGCTGCCCTGTTCAAGTCTGGACCCTGTGTGTGTGTGTGTGTGTGTGTGTGTGTGAGAGAGAGAGAGAGAGAGAGAGAGAGAGAAAGAGAGAGAGAGTCTGCAGGGGCTCTAATGATTGATCTGCCCAGTGGGAGGTGGGGAGGAGGCAGCTCTGGGTCACGCTGTTTTCCTGCTAGAGCGCTGGAGGGGAAGAATTCCTAGTGCCCACCTCCCCTCCCCACGGGAAGAGATGAGTATCTTTGGAAGAGAGGCGCAGGACCAGGTGTGTATGTGGGAAGAGGCGCCTTACTTTCACCCCCTCTGGGTGCGCCACCTGCCAGGAACCTCTGTGTGTTCAGCTGTCCGGAAGTTTTCCAAACCTTGTCCTTTTGGGGTTTGATGGAGGCTTCAGCGTGTAGGCAGGCTTGATCACATCACTGGCTGACTATGATTGGCTCAGCCTTCTCTCCCTCACCCTTTCCCTCCTGGGCACATGGAGGTGGAGCTGCAAGTCCCAACCTTCTAATCCTGCCTAGGTCTCTGTTTGGAAGCCCTCTGCCTGCAAAAGTCAAGTTGATTACTCTGGAGATTCCAAGGGTTGTAGGAGCTGTGTACTGGGAACCAGAGGCAATGACCCAATGTATATTTCTTATATCACAATATCACAGAGACTCTTGTTTGAGTGGAGCACTGTGTGTGCATGTCAGTGTGATCTCAGGTAGAACTGCCCGTGTTTTGCTCTCACTGCCCACTGCCTGCATCGCTGCAGCCATAGCTCTTACTCTCCTCCTGGAGCTCCTAGGGGCAGGAACTGTGCTGCTTACAGAACAGGGGCTCAAAAAACTGGCAGATGCAGGCAGGAAGGAGTGAGTGAGGGCTCACTGAAGGCTGGACCTGTGTGGGCTTGCGAGGGTCTGGATGGAAACAGAAGAGGACATTCCAGACGGGTGAGGCCTGCAGAAATGCCTGGGAGTGTCTGAGGTGGAATGTGTGGATGACCCTATTAGGGTGCAGGGTGGAGGCTACTTATGGAGAACCTTGGGATTTTTATTTTAATCGGAATGTAGAGACATTTAAGGATCTTCCTCATGTCGCCCCCCCACCCCCCCAGTAGCAGGGTGATCTTAGCTCCTGGAGAGTGGGCTAGCACAGGGGTCTGGTGCTGTGTCAGAGAGCCTGGTGAGGGGGTTTGGAGATCATTCTGAGGCACTAGTCAGGTTCCAGATCTTCCAGGCCCTAGTATCAGGGAGTCATAATGAGTCCTGGGGTGAGCATGGGAGAAGAGACACTCCTGCCCTACCCCAGGATTCCTGGTATAACTAAGAACCCCCCAGGGCAAGGGTGTCACTAAAAGAGTGGCTGAGCCCTGCCTGTCCTGCTTACATAGCCCCCAGCCATTCCTGTGCTGCCCCATGGTCTCAGACAGGTTGGCACAAAGGAGAATCCATTACCATCCAGTCCCACCAAGACTAAAACGAAAAAGAAAAATAATTAGGTTTAACAGCTCAACAGTTTTTTATTACAAAACCTGCTCCCTTGGTGTCTGGTACTCTGGAGCTGACCCTGGAGCCCCGAACAAGGCCAGCGCCACCTGGAATGCTCAGCTGCAGGCCCGCCACGTGCTCACCATACACACATCAAAGCCGATCTTTACCAGAGGAAGTTCATTTACCTAAGGCTGCTCATCTGGTGGGGAGCAAGGCTGAAATCCAAGAAAAAAAGCCCTCCCCTGGCCTTTCAGAGCCTAGCAGGGGGGTGTCTCAGATACCTGATGCCATTTTGGGCCTTGTATGTCCCATACCCTGAGCCCAGGCAGTGCTGACTGCAGGGGCGCCCTGGAATTCGTTGGCCTCTTTCAGGACAGTGAGCAGGGCCGCTCTGCTCTCCCCAGAAGTTGCAGTCTGAAGGAAATAGTGCAGGCCTCCACCAAGGTCTCAAAAAGATGCTAAATGAAGTGGCTCTGTCCAGCAGCCTATCTTGAGGATCCACTCTCGCTTCTGTGTTGAGAGAAGAGCTTTCCCCTCTGGGTACCGGGGTCCTTCTGCAGCTTCTGACTTCCCCTGTTCCCTGTTGCATAGACATCACCTTTCCAAGCTGCTCTGTTAAAGGCTTTCGAAAATCCAGAGCAAAACCACAATGCCCTCTCCAGCTGCAAGATGTCTGTTGCTTCCACACATGCCTTTCCTCTGCAGGTGATCTTGGTGGCAGGTGACTTTAGTTCATGTTCAGGGATTCCATTGCTTAGGTAGGGGTGAGAGCAATCTATAAACAATGGCGCTAGGGATAGAAGTGATGGTCTTCATAGCTGAGCCCTTATTTAGCAAGTGAGCAAAGTGGGGCTTCACCCTGAAGTTGCCTGCCAGGGTGGCACAGGTAGGGGGTAATCGTCCAGAGCTTGGCACTCAGGCAGTTACCCCTGGGCCACACTCTCAATCACTACTCAGGGCTCTGTCCTGTCAGGGTCCTGCATACCTGGGAGGAAGTCACCTGTGCCACTAAGCATGACATTGTGAGTCCAAGACAAGAACTCTGGACTTATGGAGCATGCCATCCCGAATCCATTCGCTGCACACCTGATCTTCTTGCACAAAATGACAGTAGGAAAGCTCTGTCCTTGGTCATCAAAAGCTTTAAAATATACAAAAGTGGAACACACACCAAGAAAAATGTTAATCTCTGTCTGTGCATACATGAACTGGCTGCACCCTGGAATCTGGGAAGTTTGTGCTCTTTCTAGTTCCTATTATTTCCAGATTCACATGCCTGAGATGGAAGGGTTAAACCCAGACTCACTGGAACTTCTTATTTTAATCCAGGATTATGGTGGCTGTAGAAAAAGGCTGCTCTGTCCCCTTGACCTCTTTGGCTGGGAGAGGAGTGGTGGTTCTCCTGCCTGCCTGGCTGCAAGGGGAGGTAAAGCCAGGGCTAAGCCTGTCCCTCCAGGAACCTGGCCTAGACCAGAGACCAGAGCTGGGGAGACATGCTGCCCTTGTCCTGGAGACACAGGAGGGCAGAGGGAGGGCTCTGGACACTAAAGGAACTCCAGTTTTCCCCCAGCAATTAGCTCTTTGTAGACTTGCTGAGGGCCCAAACTCTGTGGCGTGAGCACCCCAGAAGAGGATCCTCCCACCGCAAACAGTAGGCAACAAGGTCAAAGATCCAGACTCACAGGCTTGCAGTGAGTGCCCCCTCCCATCTCTAATCCCCTGGGTTACAGAGGGAAAACTGAGGCCCGGGGAAGAACAACTCTCAGCCACTTTGTTCCCATGCCCTATGCAGAGCTAATGAGCTCAGAAGTCTCGGCTCTTAAGACAGCAACAAAAGCTGCCTATTCTTGGGTGGGAATTGACTTTGCCTGGCCACACTGTGACTGCCCCACTCTTCAGGAAATTGCCAGGGGAACTGTGAGAGCTGGGATTGATTGTGTCCTATAGTCCATAATAGAAGGGTTTGGCTTGGCAGCTGTGTGCCCTGGGCAGAGGCCAGGGTCAGAAAATGGAGGACTGAACGTGGCTTCCTGCAGGGTTGGTGTTCCTTTGATGTGACGGTGGGAGGTGGGCAGTTAGGGACAGGCTCAGCACCCCACAACACCACACCCACTTGCTCCCCGCTTCTCAGATGAAGACCACCTTCTCTCACCAGGGTGCACGGTGGCTGGGAGTTGCCTGCTCTGCTGACCTTGGCTTCAGTCTGAAGGTGGCTGCCGCTCTCGTCCTTGCTCAGTGTGTTACTGCATGATGCCTCCGGGCGCCTAGAAAGCCTGCTTTTCTAATCAGTGGAGAAGCCAGCTTTGTCTGCCAGACACTGCAGCCGAGCAGCTGAGGGGGGCAGGGTGGGCGAACCCAGCTTCAAATGAAGGAGCAGCACGGAAACAGCAAAGCTGGAAAATGGCTTAAAAACCTGGGGGCAAGGCTGATCCCGGCAGCATCTGGCCAGCTGCCGAGGGGCCCTCCTGCCTGCCCACCAGACCTTGTGACAAATGCCCTCCGACAGCCGGGGAACCACAGCTGTCACCGGAAGGTTCCCAGTGTGCGGGCGGGCAGCCAGAGGCCTGCGGCTGCAGGGGCACCTCTCCGGGCTGGTAGCCTCATTATCTCTGCCGCGGAGCAGGAGCCCCAGGGAGCACAGCTGCTCTCAGCCGCGTTGGAGGAGCAGCCGCCTGTTCTGGAAGCTGCGCAGGGGAGGCCTCTCCTGCCAAAGGAAGCCTCCTGGGGCAGTGGGCCTGGAGATTTACTTTCACATCGCTTCTGTGACGCCCTCCTCCTTCCGAAGCTGTGCCTGGCCCCCCCGGGGTTCTCAAGCACTGACAGTGCCTTTGTGCCACCACTCTCTCCCCCTATGGCCCCAAAGCAGGGTTAGATGCAAAAAAAAAAAAAAAGGAGAAGAGAAAAAAAGAAATTCATGTCTGCCTGAGCTTGCCAAGAATGGCCTGAGCAGCACCTCTCCCTGGAGGCCAGAGTCGTGCCTTTGTTCCCACACGTCTGTCATCAGGAAACTGCCTGGTTCCGTCCCCCAGTCAGGACAAGGACCCTTTACCCACATGGCATATGGGGCGGGTGTGTGGGCCACAGGCCTGTCTGAGCCTCCGGCTGCCTGAGTTCTTGCTTTGTGAACCCCTCCCTGTGAGGACAGCCGGGCATATGTGACAGAACACTGAAATTAACATCAAAGAGTGTGTCTGACTTCAGCCACAAACATCCCCCACCTCTCCGGGGACTCAAGGAGGGGAGAGGACAGGATGCAGGAAGGACGCGGGAGGCAGTGGGGCTGCTGTCCTCTGTTCTGCTCTGCTTGCTCTCAGTTGATGCTCGACCTTGAGCAGTGTGCCAGTGTCCTCTCTGCGCTGGACACCCTCATCTGTCAAGCAGGGAGAACACCTGCCCTTGGCCAGCCTGCCTGGGGGAATGGGCTTTGCGGAGAAAACAGTCTTATCAGGAGGAGGCTATGGGCTGCGGTTACTGCTGTCACCCAGCACAGGTGGTATGTCACCGCCTGGGAGACAGCTTTGGAAAAGGGCAGCTGTCATTTCTGCAGCTCTGGACTGGCCTGGGCAGCAGCACATCTGGTAGGTTGTGCTGCCAGAGGACCCTTATTATTATGGAAACGGAGTCATTTGCCGACTTGGTCTGAGTCCAGCCGAACCCCTCTCAGCTCGGAGCCTGTGAGCCCTGGGCTGATGCAGTGCAGGTTTGAATTAGGACGAAGGCAAGGAAATAGCAGGATTTGTGAAAATGTCACTACCCCAAAGGACCAGAACTGGGATGGGTGATGCCTGAGTCCCGCGTCTGTGGTGGGAGCTGGCGGAGCTGTGTGTGCTTGAGTGGGTGTGCATGTGTGCACCGAGGCCAAGAGGAGACAGGAGGTGGTGCATGTCAGGACCATCTGTCTGGGCACAGGCCCAGCCCCCAACCCCAGGTCCTTTCCTCCCTCTTCCCCCAGTCAGCTCCTGCTGTCTGACCAGGGAAGGAACAATGGAATAATCTGGAGACTCCCCTACCCTTTTCTAGATCCTCCTGGGTCTTTGCCTCCAGCCCCTGAGCAGATGTGCAAGGCTGGGCCAACTCCCCACCCCTCGTCTGAAGCTGCTCAGGGCCATTCCCTAGGCCCCAGGCCCCAGGCTGGGTTCCCCCTGGGTGGGAGCTTGAGGGAGAGGTGCACATGCAGGGCTTTTTCTGGCTGAGCTGGTGCTTGACACTGTTAAACCCCTCCTAATCTGTGTTATTTTCTTCTAATCCCTCCTCCGCCTGCCCTGGCCTATGTGCCACCCTGCAGGACCTTTGGTCCCAAGCCGGAGCCCATGCTGAGCGCCAAGCATGAGGAAGCCAAACATCTGCTGCATCGTGCCCGCATGAAGGCCAGGACCCAGCCCCTCCGTGCCAACCATGACATCGTGCCCACCATTGCTCAGGGCAGCCGGTGAGTGGGGCTGGAGCCAGGCTGGCCTGAGAGGACCGTGGCGGGGAAGGCTCCTCCCTTCTGTGGTGTGTTTTCTACATCAGGCACTTGTGGGGATCATTTGGCCAGTCATCACCCCTTTACTGAGGGCTTACAGTGTCATGAATTGAGACACAAAGATGAATGACCATGACCTGCACTCCCTGTGGGCGTGGAGGTTAAGGTCTCCAGGGAGAAAGACTGCCAAACAGAGGCTCTGCTCTGTGGACTATGGTATAGGGAGGAAAAATGTGCACGCCAAGCTGGAAACCTGTAACCCCACCTAGAAAGGACAGGTGAGGTTCTGAGAAGAGGTGGCTTCTCAGGACCCGAAAGAGGTCCAAATGTTCACTGGGCAGATGAGGGAGGCAGGGGTGAACATCCTAAGGGCAGAAGCCACAAGCGGAAGCACCATGCTCAGGAGTTCAGCTAGACTGGAGCAGGGACACTCGCGATGCCTGGTGGGGAGGCCAGATAGCTCACAGAGTCTAGTAGTGAGGCCGCCAGGCCTAATAAACAACTTGGATTCTCCTGTAATATCCAGGAGCCACTGAAGGACTTTGAGCAGGTGGAGAGCATGGTCACATTTGCATCTCAGTAATGCATGCTGGCTGCAGGGATGTGCTGGATCTGGTGGACGAGGGCCGACAGGAGGCTGTTGCCATGATCCTGGTAGGAGGTACAGGGGAGGAGAGTGTGCAAGCCTCACAGAAATCCCCAAAAAACCAGAGTGAGCCAGCTAAATAAGGCAGCAGAGAAGAGGTAACATCAGAACCAGACTAGCCAGGTTTGAATTCTGGCTCTGCCTTATTAGCTGTGTGCCTTTGGGGAAGTCTGTATGCCTTTGGGGAGGTCTCTGTTCCTTGGTTTCCTTAAGAAGGGGTTATGATAGTGCCTGTCTTTATGAGGGTCATCATGAGGGGTATATGAGCTAAAATACAAAATGTGCTTACAACCGAGCCTGGCATGCAGTGAGTGCCAGAAGACTGTTAGCTCTGACTGCCAATCATTTGATTACCTGGGGGTGGAAGGCATTCAGGACATGGCCAGAGTCTGACTTGCATCCAGGCATTTGGTGAGATCCAGCCAGGTTGATGCCCAGGTGCAAGGTCAGGCTTGGGAGGACAGGTTCTAGAGCCTCTGCTGACCATGTCCACCAGGCAGTTGCATACAGGATACTTAGAGGAGAAACTTGAGTATTTTCCCTCATTTCATGATGCTGGAGCCATGAACAGGACCTCATGTGGGATGAACAGATGGAAGAAGAGCAGGTTCTGGAACTTTCAGACATCAGTGTCTGTCCCCTGAGCAACACGCCCCACCTCCATCACTGTGCCTGTGTATGGAGCATCTTGTGGAACTGCTCATACCTCAAGGAGTTCTCCAGCACTCAGTACCAGCCCTGGCAGGGCTCCTGAGCTGCCTGTGGGCCATGCCAGATCTTGCCAGGCTAAGCAGGACCACTGAACCACCAAGCCTGTGACTTCAATGGCATGGTGGGCACGCTGGGTCTGTCTCCATTATCATGTGACATCAGAGCGAGTGAGGACTCTAGTGAAACTGGGCCATGTATTCTTTCTTTTAAATATATTTTTTAAGATATTGATGAACCTTTGTTTTATTCGTTTATTTATATGCAGTGCTGAGGATTGAACCCAGTGCCTCACAGATGCCAGGCAAGCGTTCTGCCACTGAGCTACCACCCCAGCCCTGGACCATGTATTCTTTGACAGGGTGCTGAACCTGCTTAGTAGAGGCTAAGGACCAATTGGGTGCTGTGGCACACGCCTGTAATTCCAGCGACTTGGGAGGCTGAGGCAGGAGGATCCCAAGTTCAAGGCCTCAGCAACTTAGCAAGATACTGTTTCAAAAATAAAATAAAAAGGTTGCAGATGTAGCTGTGGTAGAATGCTTCTGGGTTCAATCCCCAGTACCACCATCAAAAAAGAAAAACAAGAATAAGGACCTTCAAGGACCATTGATCACTGGGAGCAGATCCTCTGTGTTTAGTGTCATTGTGTCACTGTGGCTCCTAGGAGAAGGGCTCAGGAGGCCCTAAATCCTGATAAGATGTGCCCAACAGGTTACCCTTTTGCTTCCACATTTTATGCCTTTTCCTCTGGCCAGGGGGTACTTAGCATGGCTTCCTTGAGGCATCCTGTTCTTCACATATGTGTAGGGAGAAGCCTGTGACTTCCAAGGATCTCTCCTGTCCTGCTTTCCCCAGGTATTAGACTGGATGGGAAAGCCACAGAATAGACTATCTGTAAAGCAGACTTCCTGCTCACATATCCTCCTGGGCACTCCCTCTTCTCCAGATGACTCCAGCCACTCACGATGACCCCAGTCCTAACCTAAAGTAGGCTCCCTTTTCCCCAGCCCTGGAAATGCTATAGAAATGCAAGGTGACCCACTTTAGCAGCTGCTGCATCCAGAAAAGAATGATTGTGACTTGGCAGCACTGGGGAATCCTCCCAGGGTATAGCTGCAAACTCCGAGCCAGATGGCTTGCCACGGCTGCTGCTAAAGGTTACGCTCTGTCAGAGGGCCCTGGAGGGCCAGCAGAGTCAACCCTGGATGCTGCACAGACCCCAGGCCTCAGCTAGAGGTAGCAGGCCCTGGCCCCGGCCCCAGCGCATCGCTGTTTCCCCGAGCAGCTTGGCGAGAACTGCTGGAAGAGGAGGGGTGCCCAGAGCAGTCTCCAGGAGGCCTTTATCCTGGGTCTGGCTGGAAGCACAGGGCGAGCCTGAGCACACGGGCTTTTCTGGAAGGTGAAGACGGGGAAGCAGCTACATTTTTTAGAAGTAAATTGACATAGAAATTAAGCAGCCCCTGGAAGCAAAAACTCTTGCCATTCTTGGGAGAGGCACCTAGATTGGTGTTCTTAATCCCAAAAGGGCAGCACATGTCGGCAGAAGGCACACTGGATAGTGACACTGTGCTGCCTGTAAATGGTGGCTACATAAGACTCTGTAGAGCTTGACACAACACATTGCTCGTGTGGCTAGGACAGCATCATTATAGCAATTGCCCTAGCAATTGCCCCAGAGGGTCTCCTCACGGAGGCCACACAACTCCAGGGCTACAGCAGAGGTGCAGAGCTCAGACCAGAAGCCTGTTCTGGAGGGATGGCTGCTGGGGTCTCTGCCAGCCTCGTCTTGGGATGGCAACTGCCATGGGATTTGCTTGCTGTGTGCCTTATGCTGTCTGCACTTAAAGGCCTCTCCCTACGTTTTCACACTGTTGCTACCACTGTGTTGGGGAGGGGGACTCTGGGTTTGAAAAACACCCTACATGACTCAACTCGTCTCACTCCTCCTTTTAAAACAAAAATGTTTCTCCCTGTAGAGTGAATCCTAGGATAGTTCAGTTCGCCATCTTGCGTGTAGAAGTTAAGGACCCTGATGGGGGGCTCCCTTGTTGGGTTAGGACTGTGCTGCCTTGAAAGCTGGGGTCTTATTTTGGTTTTGCCAGAGTTTACAGCCCACATCCCTTCAGCAGAGCAGGGCCTTGGCCTGAGGTCTTTACAGGGGTGGTTTCCCAAGCCATGCCCAGGGTCCCCAGTGGGCCTTGCCTGTGTTGGATGGACTGGCTGGGGAGGGTGTCCACCTGTGTCCTGGGGGTAGGGTGACTCTTCTCTCTAGAGGCTGAGGTTGCTGTTTCTCAGCGGTCACTCTCAGCCTAGCATCTTCTCAGTCTGTGGGGGAAGATGAGTGGTGCAGGTGTTCGGGGGAGAGAGACACCAGTATGGGGTGTCTCTAATCAGGGTTCTCCAGAGAAACATAACCAACAGGACAAACCATACAGAGAGGGTTATTTTAAGGAATTGGCCTCCCTGTGTGGGAGCCTGCAAAACCTGCAGGGGACGCCAGCCGGCTAGAGACCAGGACAATGCTGCGTCTGTGTCCAGAGGCAGCCGGCAGAATCCTCTTGCTCAGGGGAAGTTGGTCTTTGTTTTCTTAAGGCCTTTTGCTGGTTGGGTGAGGCCCACCCACACTATGGAGGGTCACTGCTTTATTCAAAGTCCTTTGATTTAAATGTTAGTCTTCTCAGAAACATGGAGGATAGTGTCTGGCCAGGTGTCTAGGCACTGTGGCCCAGCCAGACTGACACATTGAATTAACCATCACACATGGTTTGTATGCAGAGAGAAATGTAGAAAGGTAGGAGCCGAACGCGAGCTAAGAAGGACGACTCCAGGGTGGATGGCAGGAGGATTGTGGGGGTGAAGGGGCAGGAGCCCGGAGGCCCTGCCAGTGGGAGGGGGCCATTGAACTGGAGAAGAAGGCGGGGAGGAAGAGGAGGACCATATTTTCACCTCAAAGACCATCAGCTGGAACCTGTGTCCTACTGTGGTGTGTGAAGAAAGCTGGGCTCCTGAGGGCCACAGACAGGAGGCAGGTGGAGAAGCCAGAAGGGGCCACTAAGGTGTGAGAAGTGGTATGTGAGAGACACAGGGTGGCTCCCACACACTCAGCAGTGGATTGGTGGGAGGCTGGGAAGGGGAGGGAGAGTGTGGCCCTCACAGGTGCCTCTGATAGGAGAAAAGCCAGGGGCCTGGGCCCACTTGCACAGTGGCCTGAAACTCGGGCTACCTGGCTCCTGGGGCCTGGGGTGAGACAGGGAGGGCCGACCCCAGCCACAGTGCCTCCCAAGTCAAAGCTGATGGCTGTGACGACTCTCCCCAGCACTTAAAATACCCTTTCCCCATAAGGGCTTCACCACATGTGCCGTGAATGTACCCTTGGGGTGTCCATGGGGGATTGGTTCCAGGACCTCTCGCAGATACCAAAACCTCGATGCTCAAGCCCCTGATGTAAAATGGCATAGCATTTGGATATAATCTAGGGCTGGGATGTTGCTCAGTGGTGGGGCACTTAGCTGGTATGCAGGAGGTCCTGGTTTGATCCCCAGCACCACACACACACACACACACACACACACACACACCCCATATAACTTGTGCACATACTCCTTCCAACCATCTGTTGGTTGCTTATAACACTTAATACAATGTGAAAAGTCATTGGGTTACAGTGTCTAGGGGGTTGTGACAAGAAAAAAGATCTCTACGTGTGCAGTAGAGATGCAGGTGTTCTTTCCAAATGCTTTTGATATGAAGCTGGTTGATCCACAGACGCGAGCCTGTGATTATAGAGGACTGGTTGTCCATATTTCCACAGCTCACCACTACCAGCAACGCAGGATGACCACTTCCTCTCCCGAACACACACACACACACACACACACATACACCTCTCACACAGAAGGACTTTGGTGTCTTCTTTCCATACAGTCCTGAGTTTAATGACATTTCCTCTCAGCTCAGGCCCAACCAGGCCGCAGAGGGAACACGGGGCTTCTGTTTGGTGCCGGGCATCAGAATCAGAATGGGCCTGTGATACAGTGCTTGGCCTTGACGCCCCAGGAAGCTGATTTGGGGTAACTTTGTGGGTTACAGCAATCCCAGAGCATCATGGAGACTGTTCCCCTGGTTGGGTGGTGAGGGTCGGGCCAGGGTGTACCCAGGGAGGGACCATCTTCCCCACACCCACTCTTCTACCTGTGACCTCTCTCCTTTAGAGATGGCCAGAGAGGCCCAGCCCCGGACCCCAGGATGACCTTTGCCTGCAGAGATAGTCTCCAGAATGGGAACGTGAGTGACTCCTCCAGTGGGGAGTCCAGCAGTGGGCAGTGGCCTAAGCAGGGCACGGCCCCTTCGCATGTTCGCTTTCAAGACGAGACTGCCCGTGAGGCTGAGTCCCGCTACCTGGAGCGGCTGCAGCAGCGCCAGCGCCAGGTGCTGAGCACAGTGCTACCGGCCTCGGGCCAGGGGCCACTGCGCTCCAAGCCCCATGTCACCCACTACATTAACCGGGACATGGGCGAGGGCACGTTCCCCAGGCCCCTGGGTGGCCTAGACCGCAGGGGCCTCCTGGCACCCCCAGCGCCATGGGGCAGCGAGGGGAAGTGCAGAGCCTGTGGCCACTGTCTTCAGGACGGACGCCCTGCTGAGGGGAAGGTGCCTCCCAGCCCTGGGGTCGCCCAGGGACTCCAGGCTGCCTGTGGAGTGGAGGGGGTGATGCCGGAGCCCCAAACCTCCTGTGGCCCCAGCTCCCCATTCCAGCTCTTCCCTGCTGAGCCAGGGCTCCACTCAGAATGGGTCCGGGAAACACACATTGGAGACACCACCACGTGCCCTGAGGAGGGGGACTCTGCCCTGGACAGCACGGACACCTCAGACAGCTGCCGGACAGACAGTGAGGAACCTGGGACCTCTCAGCCCAGAAGGACAGGCGGGCGGCCCCGAGGCAGCAGCCTCCGACAGCGAGGCTCCAGGCCTCAAGGAGGCCAAAGGCGGTCCAAGAAAGCTGAGATGGAGTCGTCCTGGGCCCCTGAGGCCCAGGATGGGGTTCATGATGTGGAGGAGGGAGATGAGGTGAAGGAAGGCAGGGGACATACACCTGATGGGACTCTGTTTCTAAGAGAAGATGCTGTCCCTAAGCCTTCTGCCCTGGAATCTGAGAGGTCTTCCCTTGGGTCCGAGAAACAACCTGAACAAGAACTGAAAAGTCACTGGGACCCTGTGGACTCCTGGGCTCCTTGCAGGACAGCCTATGTCACAACATCCTCCACAAAGCTTGGGCCCTCGGGGCCAGGCAGACCAGACCAAGTTATAGAAGGCCACGAGTCTCCCGAAATTGTCTGCACTTCCTCCCTGCAACAGAGCCATGCAGAGCCCCCTGCTCACCGCCCAGCCTGGCAGCCAGCGGCTTCTCTCTCCCCTGAAGGCTGGCTGCCAACACCTCCCACTTCAAGGAAAACCACCTCCCCTGTGCCTCACAGGAAGGCAGCGCTGGCTCGGCCCTGCAGTCCCCAAGTCAGGCACCCACTGTTGGCCCTGTCCACCAACAACTGCAACAACTGTTCGCCCCTGGGGCTGCAGGAGCCCTGGGGAGCAGCCATCCACAACGGCAGGGCAGACAGGGGTCCCTGTGGCCAGGAGCTGGACCTACCCCTGGAGGGCAGCGGAGACGGTAAGGACTGCCCTTGCTCAGACGCAGCCTCAGGCCAGGTCGGGGACACTCTGGGCGTTCAGTCTTCACTTGCTTTTCTTCTCAGTGGTCAGATATCACAGCCACACACTCCCAGCAGCCCCCCAGAGCGACGACAGGTGTCAGGGGAGCTGGTGGCCTGTGGGTCGGAGGCAGGCTTCAGCTTAGCCCAGAGTGGAGGCAGGACCATGAAGGCCGTGGTACCCAGCAGCAAGCTCCACGGCTGCGGGCAGCCTGGGCTTTATGGGAATCTGGCTCCCGTAAAGCAGGAAGAGGCAGCAGCTCCAGGATCTGCTGTTGGCTTTGGGCAGTCAGTGCCCAGGAATCCCAGGGCAGAAACCTTCCACGTCACGCACCCACTGGCTCTGTCACTCAGCGGTGTTGAGCACTATGCTAGGGGCTGTGGGGAACATGTAAGTGAGCTGCTTCAACAAGAGACCTGCCCTTGTGACTTTCTGTGGCCAGGCAGACCTGCTTCCCAGGGGGCACAGTGACCAGCAGGCAGAGCTCCTATAGGGTGTGGTAGGCTGCCCTCTGGCCTGAGTCCCCCAGGACCCTGGCCCTGCTGGGCTGGCTGGTGGTTTCAGCAGGCAGGCTGCTGAAGTGGGTAGGTAGCACCTCTTTGTCCTTGGGAGGGGTCCCCCGTCCGGGGCAGATCCTGGGTGTTGCAGTCTCTTCCCTCAGGGGGCTCTAGGCTAGTGGCTGGTTTGCTCCTGACCACTTCCCATGGGGCTTCTATCTTGAGCCCTTTCTGGGCATCCTTCGAGGCCTGGAGCAGAGAGCCAGGGGAGGCCTTCGCTGCAAGACCTGGGCAAGTCACCTACTCCCCCATGCTCCAGGCTCCTCTGTAAAGGACAATAATGGAACCTCCCAGGAACCCCCAGGGGCCTCAGCACTGCCTATTGCATACAGATGCTCCCCAAATGGCGGCAGTTGTCAAAGCTGTGAGAAATCATAGATGACAAATTGTTTGCTATCCCAGGAATATAAAATGTCCCCATTTCCAACTATGTCCCATGATATAGAAGGGGCATGACTTATCACAAGCAACACCGTCACTTAAACACTTACTAATCATCTACTGTGTACCAGCTGCTGGCCTGGGTGATGAGCTTCTAGCAGGCCTCAAGACCCCGTCCATGACTCCCCTGGCCCATCCTCAGAGAGCCGCCCCCTCCATCTGCTGCCCCCTCCGCTGCCTCCACTGCTCTGCTGAGGCTCCCACTCCTCTTCCGCCCTCCTGCTCTCCAGCCTCTGAGGCTGGGCCTGTCCTCTCCCCACCTTGGCCTGGGGAATGGTCAGCCTGATACAGGAGGGATGCTATGGCTTTTGCAGGAGGATTCCAGGGCTCTCTCAGCTTGGCAGACACCGTTGTCAACTCCATGGGCATTACCCTCTCCCTGGCCTCAGAGGAGCTGGAGTCCAGCCAGGACCTGGAAGAAGGTCTGCAGAGGACAGAGTCCAGTTCTGGAGGGCACATGCCACCTGGGTAAGTGGCAGGAGTAGGAGCCCTGATTGCAGGAGAGGGTGCTGGGTGGGGAGGAGACTCCCAGGATGGTAGCATGACTGGCCTCATTGCCCCCAGATCCTTGGAGTCCCTAGACCATGCCCTAGCCTGGCGGCCCTGACACTCCTTTTTAGTTCTTTTTAGTCTGATGTACCTTGTTCATTTGCTGAACATCCCCTGAATGGCCTCCAGCCCCAGCCACTGAGCTGGTCACAGACCCAGCTGACAGAGTCCCAGCCCTCTGGGTGCTGTCTGGAAGGACTTGCTCCTGACCCGGGGCTTGGAAACCAGATGCTGAGGAAAACTGTTTCTCTACTCTTCTTCAGCTGTGGGTCTGAGTCATTGCCTGGGGCACCTCTGTGGACTGACTTCAAAGCTGCGGTGAGCCTGGTGCTCTGGCCAGGGCCCTCTGTCCCATGCCACACACACACACCTTGCCTGGTGACTGCATGCAACTCCAGGCCTCCCACATACCTGGAGCCAGCTCCCCATCTCCAGCCTTCTGTGCACTCCAGAACTCAGCCTGTCTGGCCAGTCCCAAGAACTCAACATCCAGTGCCTACTACCACGCTGCCTGCCCCACCGTGCTCAAGCCCTAAATCTGTCTACCCGCAGCAAGTCTTCCCCCTCCAACATCCCCCTGGCCGTTTCTCCTGGTCTCAGCTGTGGGATCTCCTTTTTGTGAACCTACAGGAGCCCTGGCCTGCTCCACCTGCTCTCTTGTTCCTTCTGGTTCCTTCTTCACACGTGATAATCAGGAGCATCTTTTTAAAACCTTAATTAAATGGCATTATTTTACTATTTAAAAACCTAAAATGGCTATTTCTCCCACTTGGAACAGAATTCAGACCCCTCACCATGGCTGGCCGTGCTCCAGGTCATCCTCCTGGGCCTGCCTGCCTGACCTCACCTGGTCTCTCTGCCCTCCTCCCATTCCCTGCACCCACACCCTGTGTCCTGGACTCTGTGGTTCCTGAGCCCACGCCTCTTCCCGTCTTGCCCAGGCACCTCCAGCATGGCAGCCTGGTTCCTGCTTGGCATTCAGAATGCAGTGTAAAGGCCATCTTCTCAGAAAGACCTTCCCTGGCCACTGTTTCAACCAAACACCTGGTCACTCTGCTGCACTCACCAGTCACTCATGGTTTTCCCCTTGGCTTAGTGGTCCGCAGTTGATTAGCTCTGAGAGAAGGACCTTGTTTGTCTTATACACCACATAGCCAGGGTCTGGAAGAGGCTGGCACAAAGGAAGTCCTCAGAAATAAGGAATGGACGAGGGGCTGAACCCTAGCTGCCTTTTATGGCGGGGGCTCGCCTAGGCTCCTTCCCCGGGGCAGAGCACCCAGCACAGTCTACTTTCTCAACTCATTGCCAGTTCCCCTCATGAGGCATTGGTGCTGCGGCCTGGGACCCTAAGGTGCGGCCTGCCTTGCCTCCGCCCCAGGTCTCTGCAGCCCGCCTCATCTCCCCTCTTGTGTTTCAGAGCCTCACCAGAGGCCAATGCAGGGCCCAGGGTGCCCCCAGCTACTGCTTCTGAAGCCAACAAGAAAAGGAGCAGCGGCCTGGCCTCCGCCCTGGGGCTGAAGAAGCTCCTCTCGGTCCTCGGCCAGACTTCCCGGCCCAAGTTGAGCAAGTCCCGTAGCTACAGTGTGGAGCAGCTGCAGCCCGCTGTGCCTAGCCCAGCTTCACACACCAGCACCTCCAAAGTGAAGAGAGCCCCGTCCTTACAGTCCCTGCATCTGGTGAGTCCATGGTCCCAGCGGGGGTTGTGAGGCTGGTGGTGGAATGAAGAATGAAAGGAGAAAGATGTGCCCAGGGTGCCTCCCAGGGAGCCCACGGTGGAGAAAGGGGAGCCACTGGCTTCCCACAGCCTATCCGTGAGACTTGGGTTCCCCGGGCCCAGGGCAGGTAGGCATCACTCCAAAGTTCTGTTCTTCTGCCCAGGCCTAGGCTCATCCTAGACTTCTCCTCCTCCCTCAACTTTGCTAAGTCTGACAAGTCTTTGGAAGTGCGTGGGCCGGTTATTCTGGAACCTTCTCTGTGGCCACAATGACTCTCTTAATCCAGGTACAAATCACTCCTGGATTCCCTCACGCCTCTTGACTGGCCTCCTTGCTGTGGCCCTTCTCCATATGGCTTCCAAAAATGGTCTTTCAGATGTGCACCACCCCCTCTGAACATCTGTCCTTCATCACTTATGCCCAAGATAAAGTTGAGACAGCTCTGTGTCGCCGGAGGGTTTCTGTGATCTGTCTGCTTTCGTCTCTTATCACGCTCAACCCCAGTTACACTGGGGTGTGTTATGCTAGACCTCCTTGCACTTCTGTGGTAAGATCACACACGGAGGGATTGAGTCTTCACCTCCACTGAGGCTCCCCTTCTCCACCTGCTGACGCAGCTCACCCATCAGTACTTCAGGCCCATCTCCCAGGAAGCCACGACGGTCGATCCTCTGGCGGAGCAGGGCCTCTGCTGGGTGCTGCCACCTTCATGGCTGTTCTGCTTTCTCCCCTCACTCCCCTCGCTGAGTGCATTGAGGAAACACCGTTTGATCTTTGCACTGCCAAGGCCTCTCATGATGGCAAACACAGCTCAGCCCTCAGCGCGTGCTGAGGGGGTGGACTCGGGTGGCTAACGGCAGCCTTCCCCCGTGCCACAGTCTTAGCAAGCCAAGCGTGGCTCACTAGCTCCCTACCAGGCTCCGGAAGCCCCGGCCTGTCCTAGCAGTGTGCAGTGTTGTTTCTCCTCTTACCTCCACCTCTCCTGGACAGACTGCGGTAGGTGGCTTGGTCAGGGCATGGGAGCCTTTCATTTCTCAGGCTGCAGGGGAAGAGGATGCCAGCTGAATGGAAATTCCACCCGCTTTCTTTCACCAAGGACAGTACCAGGTAGGCGGTTGGCACTCAGAAGATATCTGCTGGCCAAATGACTGGAAGGCAGAGAATCAGAGGCAGAGAGGGCGAGCAGGGGAGAGGGCCACCGCAGGGCCCTTGTGCTTCAGAAACTCATTTGTGGGACCAGATTAGCGGCCATCAGAGCTTCCATCTCTGTAAAGTCCTCAAGGGAAACGATGACACCATTAGTGAAATAGAGGGGTTTAAGCCGAACCCACAAACAGAAAGCAGCCTGGCCGGGACAGAGCAGGCTAAAGTGCAGGAGGACAGTGCAGGAGAAAGATACATTCCAGAAAAGAAAAAAGGAGATAAAAGAGGAGTCTGTCTCACCCAGAAGTATTTATGACATGTCTCCAGGGAAGACACCGCCAGTTAGCATGTTGGGCCGGCACACTCGTGTTCCGTGGTCGGGCGGTGGCTGCTTCTCTGTGTGGTGCTGGGGATGGAACCCAGGGCACTGCACACGCTGGGAAAGTGCTCCTAGCCTCTTGTTTTTTGAGACAGAGTCTGCCCAAGTTGCTGAGGCTGGTCTTGAACTTGTGATTCTCTTGCCTCAGAGTGGACAGCCGCCTGCCCTCATACACAAACACACCAGCTGCTTCCACCCCTCCGATGGGCTGTGGCTCCTCTCAGGGCCCTTGGAGCTAGTGTCTGGAAACTTTCCCTTCCTCCTCCCTGTTCCCTAGGAAATGTCTGCTTGTCCTCCCAGGAGGACTTGAGCCTGCCTCTTAGGCGTCTTGATAATAGATCTGCCATCTTTAGATCACTTAGTCCATTCAGCCTGCTCCAACAAATCCCATAGACCAGGCTTTTATACCACAGAAATGTGTTTCTTGCAGTTCTGGAGGCTGGGAGTCTGAGGTCAAGGCTGAGGCCCAGTGGGTGACGATGAGAGCTGCTTTCTCAGATGACTGTAACCTCCCTTATAAAGCCCAAAGGCTGTCTGGGGGCCCACCAGGTTCTGCCTTCACAACCCAGGCACCTCCTTAAGGCCTCCTTCCAAGTGAATGGAGGGAGCACAGACATTCAGACCATAGCAACATAGATTCCAAATGTAATAAATAATGTGTGACATTCACTTAAAAGGCTGCTTCTCTGCCTGGCTCCATCAGCCCAGCCCCACCCCCACCTTCAGAAGGGTCTCCTCATTATGTCACTTTCTTTTTGTTTTATTTTTTTGTTTTGGGAGAATTGAGAATGTAACTCAGGGGTGTTTTATCACTGGGCCACATCCCCAGCCCTTTTTATTTTGAGACAAGATCTTGCTAAATCACTTAAGGCCTCAAATTGCTGAGGCTGGTCTTGAACTTACCATCCTCCTGCCTCAGCCTCCTGAGTCGCTGGGATTGCAGGTATGCGCCACTGTGCTGGGCCTCACTGGGTCATTTTCTAGAGTGCAGATCTGTTTTCCTTCTAATTAACATAATGCTGCCACTCCTTAGCAGGGTGTTTGAGGTCCTTCAGGGCTGGCCCCTGTTCTGGCCCATCTCCTACAAACTCTATGACCTCCCCTCCCAGACCACACATATGTTCTAGAACGTGCCAAGCTTTCTCACGTCTGTCCATGTCTTCACTCATGCTATTTTTCTTCTTCCTGGAGCTTTCATTCCTTTCTCTACATGGATAGCTCTTGCTTCCCAGTTCCCCCAGCGACCCCAGACCCCTAAGATGAAGCCCTCTTGACTCCCTACACATCATCCTTGCTTTGCACCCAGCACTCACTACACACCCAGAGCTTCCAACCTGTCTCATCCCCACTCCCAACATTTTGTGGGCTCTTGAGGGATCATTGCCTTGTTGGACTTTTTATGCACCATGTTTTAATGTACATAAAGAGCAAATTTTTGAACAAAAGTGATCATAAAAGGGATACTAAAGAATCGCAAAATATTTGGCTTTAACTCTTAAAATATGATTTAATTGTATTGTTAAACTCACTTTGTTGCTAATCAGTGAGAAAATTAGATTGTCTTAATGAGATAACTAATGGTATAAAACTGAATTGTTATTGCAGTTGTTATAACCAACCTTGATGCTTCAGTGTAGGCCCATCTGCAGGAGTGAGTTCTGGTGGGTCCTACTGAGCACTTGGAAGTAGAGAGCAAAGTTTGCACATCACTTTCTTAAGAGGACCTCAATCCTCTGTCAACCCCTGCCCAGGTGGTTTTCTCACCTGCAATATTGGACCTTTTCCACCAGGTGTCACCCTCCCACCAACATCGGAAAGCTTCCTCCTTTCAGAACCTCCATTCTCTGCTGAGCGGCAAGGGGGACCGGTCCAGCCTGTACCTGGTAGAGGGGCCAGGAGATTCTAGTGCACGAGGCAGGTAAGAGTGGACACAGATGGTCTAGAGAGTAAACTCAGAGATGGCCAGTGGAGCTATAAGCTCAATTCCTTCCTGCCTCAGCATCACGGTCCCTTTAAGAGGCTGCCTGTGCCTCCCCGTTAACAAACCCTGTATGGAGAGGCCAGGTGGAGCAGTAGCACCTCTGCCTTCATCCTGTGCAGGGGGCGCTGAGAAGGTGTGGGATTCCAGAAGGGGTGAGCTGCCAGGTTGGATTCTTCTCTCCTTCTGCTGTCTGACAATATCTTGGAATCAGATGTTCTAGAGTTTTCTTAGCCTAGCAAAGATCTGACTAAACCTCCAGAGACAGGGGCCCCCAGAGAGGCCCTTGACCCACACGTACCTCTTTGCTGAGGCCCTGTGGGCTAGGTGCTCTCACCCAGTGCCCCCTCTGTTAACTCCTAGAAATGTCATATGAAATTACAACTTTCGTTGGCTTCTCGGCTTCTCGGAAGTCTCTGCCTAAAAGTCCAGACACCACCGCTGGGTGGGGGAGCTTTCTGGTTCTGCAGAGGCACTGAGAGCCCGGGGCAGGTGTGGTCTCCACCCCAGGCTGCTCTTTCTGCCCTTGTGGTCAGTGGGGCCCCAGCCTTCAGTCCCAGACTCTGAAGTCTAAGACGCCTTGGTCAACTTAAAGCCAGGGAAGGGCTGGGCCCTTGTCCTCACTGTGTCTCTGGTCCCCTCGCAGGCTGGCCAAGGCCCCTCCCCGGCGGGCCCTCAGTGTGGAAGATGTGGGTGCCCCCAGCCTGCCTCGCACCGTGGGCCGCGTGGTGGAGGTGTTCCCAGATGGCACGAGCCAGCTGCAGCTGCAGCGCTCCTCAGAGGGCACTTTTGGCTTCTGTGTAGCCTCTGGGAATGGGCGCCGGGACTCAGGTAAGCCTCTCCCCTTCCTCAGCAAACCCAGTCTTGCCTCTTGGCTCCTGTTGGGTTGCTTCTGGCCTTTGGCTGAGCAGCGGAGCTTTGCAGATTCAAAATCTGCAGGACTGGAGTTTGCAGGAGTCCGCACCTGCAGACCCTGCCCGGAAGCTGTGCAGCCCTGAGGGGTAAAGGGGTGGGGCTGCCAGGTTTGACTCGCTGTCCCTGCTGCTACCTAATGACATCTTGAAATCAGAATCTTGAAGGACACCTTTTCATAGGAGAGCAGAGGGAAATCGTCCGTGCTTGCCAGGTCCCAGCTATCCCTTTGATGTGGTTGATGTGTTTCAGCAGCTCCCCTCTCCCTTCGGGTCTGTCTGGGCATGTGGAGCCTGCCCGCCCGCCTGCCTGCCCGCCTGCCCGTGCCACTCTCCAGGTTCCTACCTTGGGGCTGGCCTCTGTGGGTCATGATCAGGTGGACCCTGGCTCCAGACTCCTGGCTGGGGCCTGCTGGGTCTTGATTCCACACTGGCCGTTGGGAGACCTGGCCCTCACCTTCCCCTGGCCATTGCTCAGTACCAGCCATCCGTGAGTCTTTCAGAGCAACTCAATTCGTGTGGGCCTTTGCCCAAGGTCTGTGGTCCAGAATGCTGCCAAGGCAAGGGAAAGCTCAAAGCTCTTCCCCAGGTGAGGTGAGGAGGGAAGGAGGGCAGGTACACGGAGGAAGGGGAAGGAGGGGAGGGAAAGGGAGCAATGACCCAGAAAGACATTCTCAGGGCCTGTGTCCCGGGGCCCTGCCAGGGAGGGTTAGTGCTTGCTTTATCTCAAAGTTGTTTAGCCTGGAAAAAACATCTGCCTGCTCCCACGTCTGCAGACGGCACGAGCCCCGGCACCTGTCCCATCCTTCATTATTTCAGCAGCTACATATTGAACACCTGCCAGGGCGGGTTCCAGCAGTACGTGGAGCAGACAGAACCTGACCTCTGAGCTCACATTCCAGTGAGGGAGTTGGGCTGTGTTCACAAAAGGTCTGCCTTGTGAATCACGGATGTGGGATGTGTATGTGTGTGACCTTACAGGCCTCATGTACCTTAGTGAAAAATGTAAGAGACAAACACAAAGCTAGCGTAGACACGCTTTTTAAAGATGACACTGGAGCAGAGACAGGAGGAGCACATTGGTGTCAGGGGAGGAGCATTCGAGGCAGAGAGAATAGCAAGTGCCAAGTCCTGAGGAGGGGGAGTGTGGGCTGCTGGAGGAGCTGCCAGGGGGTCAGGCTGGGGCCCAGCTCAGAAAGGTGGCAGCTGTGCTGCCCTAAGTGACTTTGGCTCTCCCACTGCGTGAGACAGGAGCCACTGGAGGGCTTCAAGCAGAAGGGCAAGATTCTCAGATTTACCCTTGAGTAGGGCCTAAAGCCACTGTGTTGAGAATAGAGCCTGGTGGGACAAAGGCCGTCCTGGAGACCAGTTTCAGAGATGGTGGTGGCCCGGACTGGGGTGGCACCAGACTGAGAGGGTTACAAGAGGTGGATTCTGGGAGTCTTACAGGTAGTTTTGACTAAGTTCACTGATGGATTGGACATGAGCATGAGGACAGGTCCTCCCTACTCTACACCTGGGGTGGGGGGGAATGCCAGTCCTCACAGGGCGATGGCATTTGTGAGCACAGACTGAGCCTCATCCAGCCCTCCCCAAGCCATCGGCTGCTCCACCTTCTCTGTGCCCCCTCTCCTTAGATGAACCCAGAAGGGTTCCCAGCAGGCCCTGTGGAGCCAGAGAGCCCTGGAGTGGGTGTACTTCAGGGCCCCTGCTGTGAGGTGACCTTGAGCAAGCAACTTTCCCCTCTGAGCTCAGGTCTCTAACATGTGGGATGAGGATAACAGAACCAATCTGAAGAGTCTGAGGGGCATTCAGTAAGGCTGGGAGGAAGGTGTCCAGCACTCTTCTTCTCTTCCCTCTGCAGAAAGAGAAGGTATATTTGGGGAACAGAACCCCAGACAGGGACCAGCATGCTCTGTATTCAGCTGTCAATGTGCCCACGGTAAACACAGCGGGGCCCGGTGGCTCTCTGCAATCCCAGCCACTCAGGGGGCTATGGCAGGGGGATTTTAAGTTCAAGGCCAGATGGGGCAACTGAGGGAGATCCTGTCTCAAAATAAAAATAAAATTAATAAAAAGGACTGGAATGTGGCTCAGTGATAGGGCACCCCTGGGCTCAATCCCCAGCACCAAACATGAAACAGAGAGCCCACAAAAGGGCATGCCCCCCTACCCCTCCAAAGTCTCTTTGGCCCCTTTGTAGGTGGAGAGAGCCCTTCCCCGACTTCCTGTCCTTGAGCGGTGATGGGCAGGGTCTGTAACCACCAAGGGCTCCTTGGGCTCCTCCTGATCTGCTCCCCTTACCACACTGGTCCTCCCAGGTGTGCCCTGCTCCTGCTGTTGCAGTTGGCCCCTGGTGTCACACAGGGATCCCTGAGCACAGGGAACGTGGCAGGTCTGGTGCTCCTGGCCTTCTCCAGCAGCAGTTACTTCCCTCAGAGGGCCGTGAGCTGGGGCTGGTCTGGCTCCTTGCTAAAAATGTCAGGAGGCCGGTGTTAACTTGCTGGCTGTCACCTCCCATTCTACACCAGCCTGTGAGGACAGCTGGCTTTGCCTCTGCTTATAACTGCTGTAACAGAGACCCGCATCCTCAACAAAAGCTACCTCCAGCAGACAACAAATGCCTGCAAGAGCGGCCTCTGTCATGTTGGTTATGACTGAGTTGGGACACCTACCCGTCTCCCCCAAATGCCAGAGTACGGTCAGCATTCTTCTGGGGTCTATCCTTACTCCCCACCTGCTTCTCCCACTGCGCATCAGACGCTTCCCCAGAGTCACTGGGGTTCCCTCCATCCCTCCCCCATGCCACAGGGGTGGAGAAGAGCAAGCAAGCTGCTCAGATGCCATAGAGAGGAAGTAAAGAGAGGGCAAGGCCTGGCGGAAAGCCCCGTGCAGCCAGGAGGGCAGACGTGCTTTGAGGAGGGGTGACGGAGCCTTGCTGGGAAGGTTCAGCCTGTCCAAGAAGCAACCAAAGGGAGCGCCAGACCCCAGGCCGGGGAACGTGTGCAGAGCCCTGTGTGCAGAGCAGAGCCCAGACCCCGGTGCTGCGAGCAGGAGCAGGGGCAGGGCCTCCTGCAGACCCCAGGCTCAGGGGCTGGCTCTGAAAAGCCAGACTGAGGCCGGCTCCTCCAGGCCACTAATCCAAGGTGCCATAGATGGTTTCAAACCAGACCCTGAAGAACTAGCCAGATGCCCCTTCGGGTTCTTGCTGTGCACCTGGTTCTAGAAGAGGAAGTGGAGATGGCCGTGTGTGGGCAGCTGTTCACGTCTCCCATGTGCAGCCAGCTGGGCAGGGCTGGCAGTGGGAGGGGTGGAGGCTGCGCTAGGCTGCCCAGCGAATTCCAGTGTGGTCAGCTCCACAAATGTTGTCCCTTAAGGTCATCCCCTGTAGTCCTCTAGCAGGTTGGGCTAGGCCCTTAGACCCCTGTGGTCACTCAGTACAGAAAATGGGTAGTGGGGTCCAGCTTTCCCTGAAAAAGCTGTGCCTCATTTAATCTCAGATGGAGCAGCTGATGGCGAATTTGAGAGGGTGTCCAGCCCTCAGCTGGATGCTTTTGTGCCGCTTGGCCAGCAGAGGACAGGGGAAGCCAGCCCAAGTCTTGCAGGGCCTGCCTCAGCAACATGGGCTCCCTGAGAATCAGCGGCAGAGAATAGGCAGAGAAGCATGGTCCCCTGTGCTTGCTGGGCACCTTCTAGACACAGGCAATAATCATGCTGGCCAGGCGGGGCCTCTTCACATGGAGGGGAAGGGAGGGGGTGTGTGAAACAGAAGAGTAAGCCATCATGGCTTCTGAAGTATTTTTCCTGGGCTTTTGCCCGGATGCCTCAAAATCCCAAGTGAGGAACTGTATGTGAGTAGGACAGTAGGTCAGTCCCAGAGGTACCATGTGGCAAACAACTGGGCCTCAGCTATTTCCACTAACACCCTGGCCATTGTGCTGGTCCTGTGCCACTCAGGGTGGCAACTGGATCTATTTATGAGTCCCACTGAGTTCCAGGAACCCAGTAGGCATTTAAAAAAAATATTTTCTTCTTTATTCTACATCTTGGAAAAAGATAAGATTAATTCAGTCACACTGGGGTGTGGATGAACAACACCATCCTCAAGTGTTTTCACTTTTAAAGAGGAGACAGAGAAATGGGCTTATGCCGTGGAAGAGACACACTGTATCTCAGTATAAAGCCAGTTGTTGCAAGATAGAACCAGGTGTGTGTGCATGTGTGTGCGTGCGTGTGTGTGCACACGCTTGTGCGTGCGCGTGGCTGTGCCCCACACCAGCCCTCTCCCCCTGCGCTTGGACAGCACCTGCAGCGCTGCCAGCTCTGACTCGGGTCTCACTTGCTGCATTCTGCCTTGTTTTGCAGGGCTCTACGTGCAGGAGATGGCTGACCTGGACACTGCCAAGCTGTACTCAGGGCTGCTCGGGGTGGGGGACGAGATCCTTGAGGTGAATGGGGCCAAGGTTGCTGGGCTGGGCCTGGCTCACGTCCAGGAGCTTCTGGCCCACTCAGAGAGTTTGTCACTACGTGTCCTGCGGCAGAGGCCTATCCCACGGTGACCCAGAAGTGCAGCTGGAAGCTCTGAACTGCCCCGGGATTGAATGGCTGGAATGCACTGAAGAGATACTCTGTGGACCGTTTTAAACCACAGATGATGGTGACATGTAGCCCCTCGGGCTATGGCAGGGCTTCTGTGATTGACTCCCCTAGGGCCAGAAATCTGTGGGAGATCATTAATTTATGCAGAACTGGGGAAAGAAAATCCTGATGTCCTTTTTTGCTCGAGGTGATGGCAACATTGACTTGCCCCATGTTGGGGCATATTGGAGAGATTCCATGGGTCCTTTATTGGCCCTTGAGAACTGGTCCCATTCCCCTTCAAAGGTGCCCCTAGTCCCCAACACTGCAGAACCAAAGATGGAGGCCATATCAGCCGTCTCTCCTGGCTCCCACTCACCACCTTTGCTCCTCATCCAGAAAGGGACACAGCATCCTGGAGTAATAGCCAGCCAGCCAGCAGATACCCCAAGCCAAACCTCCAAACCTGTGGCCTGATGAAGTACTCCACCCCCGTCAGGATGTGAGAGTATTTGGAAGATGTTATCTGGTACCCAGAACCTTAAGAATTTCTAGGAATTTTTTTTTTTTAATGATATATAAGGGGATATGTAGGGGGAAAAGTAAAATCAAGGCCAAGTTCAGGGAAGTACAGCTGAGGTGGGCAGAAGCTGGCCCGTGGGTCCGCCCCCCCCCCCCCGCCTCTGCTCCAGTTGCTGCAGCCAGGCCAGGAAGGCCGCGGCTTTGTTCTCCCGTCCAGCGTGCAGACAGGGCTGCAGCTGGTGTCCCACTGCCCCCAGCTGCAAGCTCCCTATCCAGACCTCCCTGGTGGCAGCCGTGGGTGGGCAGGCAGGCAGCAGGGAGGCTGCAGAGAACAGGGGTGGCCATTCCACCTGGGTGCTTCCTACGCTGGGCTTGGATACGGCCAGAAGGGTTGGGGTTCTGCCCGTGTGTGGCCATGCGTCAGTCTTAAATTATTAAAATGCAAGCTGAAACTTCTCTGGGCTCACTTGGCTTTCACTAGCCCTTGGAGGCCTGGGACTGGGCAGAGGCAGGAGGGTGGCCAGTGAGCCTGCCAGAGGCGAAGGCGGGGGAGGCCCCCAGGGTTAAAGTCACAGACAATGTAGATGCAGAAGCCTCCAGGGAGAGGCCTAGGGCTGGAAGAGGAGCCCTGGGTAAGGTTGAAGATGGGGAGAGACAGCCCAGGGGCATGGCTAGGTGCCGCTGGGGAGTGGGCTAGGCAGCCTAGAGCCATTTTGGAACTTGCCTGGTGTTAACTGTGGTAAATAATAATAATAACACAAAACCACACACCATCAGCAGGCTGAAGTGAGTGTCCCAGGCAGCTTTCAGGGGCACAGGGAGGCTAAAGAAGACTGTGGGTGAGGAAGGGCCCTGGTGTGGGGAAGCAAGCCTGAGGGGTGATGACAGGTGACCCAGGGCCTCAGCAGCAGAACCAGTTAAAGTCCCTCTCACAGTGGCCTGGAGGCTGGGGCTGAGATTCCACCTGAGCCCAGAGGCTCAGAGCAGGGGTGAGGGAGGAAGAGCAACAAGCTTTAGGGGCTGGGGCACCTCAGAGACAAACTGGGTCCCCTCCCCACCCAAAACAGCCCCACCGTTGGAAACTACAGCCGAGGAAACCCTGGCAGCTCCAGCACCCCTCAGGGTCATGAAGCAGGAGAAATTTCACCTTGAAAAGGACTTCAGAGCTGGGGGTGTAGCTAGTGGTAGGGTGCTTGCCTAGCATATGCAAGGCCCTGGGTTCCATCTGAGCATGGCAAAGGGCAGGGGAGGGTTTCAGGGTCCAAAAGCACCCTGGGTTTTCTGGATGGCAAGGACTGCCTGCCTTCCTGCCTGAGGAGCTGGGGTGGGGTGGCTTTGGGAGGAGACAGGGAAAGTCTCTGGGGAGGAGCTCCTGCAGCGGCCACCCACCAGGTGCGGGCCAGGCCTTGCCATGTTTATCTAGTCTTTATTACTATTATCATTTTTACAGTATTGGAGATTGAATCCACGGTGCTTTACTACTGGGCTAAATCTCCAGTCCTTTTTATTTTTTTTTGAGACGAGGTCCTACGTTGTTGAGTCTGGCCTTAAATCTGCCATCCTTCTGCCTCAGCCTCCGGGGTGGCTGGGATTACAAGTGTGTGCCACCATGCCTGGCTTAGTCTCTAAGATAGTTCTGCCGGGTAGGTCTGACTTACTGCCTTCATTTCACAGGGATGGAGAACCAAGTTCAGGGGCAATGGCCAGGCTCTCCTCCCCTACCCCTGTGATTTGGGACCTATTCTTCCCACTGCTGTGCCCCCCCCCCCATGCCAGAATAGCCTAGAAGGAAGGGGAAAGGCACCCAGGACAGTGGGTGGGAGGCACCAACTTTGCTTCAGTGACCCCTCAGGGTGAAATAAAGCCGGGCCTGATTGTGTGCCGGGAGGGACTCCGGTTCTTCCAACCTCCCGTCTGCCGCTGCCATTCGCTCTGCTTGGGGAGCTGCTGACGCGGAGGCCCAAGGCCTCCTCACAAACAGGACCATCAGAACCTTCCTGGTTTATTACCAGGAGCCAAGCCTGGTGCCAGGCAAGAATGGGGCCCTGCGGAAGACACCCAGTCAAGCACAACATGGCCACACAGCCTGGGCGGGCAGCAGAGGTCCTGGAACCCTGTGGCCCTGAGGGAGGTCCTGCGAAGGGCAGGTGATTTGGGGGGAGGTGCGGGTCTTGTGAGGGGAGCGGGAACTTAACTGCAAGGACAAGGCCTCAGGACAGAAAATCCAGAGCCTGTGTGAAGGTTCGGTTTCCCCACATAGAGGGACCCATGTCCCCAGAGGCTCACAGGATGCACCTGATATTGGGAACACACAGAACAGAGAGGCACCAATGTTAGCCTCAGACCTGTCAGTCTTCAGGTGTGAGGGGAAGGAAGCAGTTCAAAAGCCACCAGGAGAAGCCGCCTGTGTCTCCTGGTGCCGGGTGCAGCGGGAGGGAGGAGGGAGTTCTGCTGAGGCCTTGCAACCAGGAGGGGACTGTACAGGTGGCAGCAATCCCATCCTCCCTCCGGAGGCAACTGTGAGTCGCATTGGCACAGCAGAGTGTCGCCGTGAGCCTGGGCAGAACGAAGGACGCGGGACGCACCAGGCCGCCTCTAGCCTTTGTCCACACCACGCTCAGCAACTTCTCCGCCTCTACTCACGGGTGGCAGAGAATGCCGCGGCCTTTGTGACAAGGCCACTTCCTTGAGGCGGCATCTGGGCACAGGCTGGCTTGAGCTGCTGAAGTCGCAGAGGGCGGGTTTCGTGGGTTTTGCACGCCCTTGATCGCCAGCAGCACTGCGGATGCCCAGGCCCGGATGAAGAGGACCCCCCTTTGCCCTGGAGGAAGGCACAGTTGGGGGCAAGAAAGGGACAGACAACCCCAGCATGGTGCCTGGGTATTGCTGAAAAGCGCTGGAGACAGGCGCAGAGCCAGGCTGGGAGGACGCAGCTGGCCTGGGATGGGAAGGTTAATGGGGCGACCTCAGGCCCTGTTTGTGTGGCAGGAACCCGGGGACCCAAGAATGAGCTTTAGTGCATGCAGTGTCCCCATACCTCAGGCAAGAGAGGGAGCCACAGGCATGGCTTGAACTTTGGAAACCAAAGTAAACCTGGGACTCCGGGGACTGTGCAGTCGCTGTCCACCCCACCCCCCTGCCTGCCAGCCTGCTTCAGGCTGCTGGGACACAGCCCTGAATCCCTAGGGCAACTCTGGGGGTGAGGGCAATATAGTACTTACCTTGGAGTTAGTCTGAAGAAGGAATCTGAGACACAAAGTTTAAATCACTACCCAAGATCCAAGATCCACAGCAAATAATTGCGGAGGCAAGATTCAAACCCAGTGGATTGCACCTCAACCAGAGGATCGCAGAACATTGCCTCTCTCCACCTCCTTAGCCTGACAAACCCACGTGTGGATGGGCCATAAGAGCAATGCTGCGGGAGACTAGCATTTGACCAAAAGAAAAAAGAGTGGACAGAGGCTGCAGAACAGAGCAGCTGGCCTAAGGCAAGGGCAGGTTCCGCCCACTCTGGTTGAGCTGCTGGGGAGCTGAGGAAACCTCCCAGGCCTGGTCCCTAGGGAAAGACAGCCTAGATTCCCATCACCAAGAAGAGGTGCGGGACTCAGGAGTGGTGTAGTGTCATGCCCGTGGACTTCCTAGTCCTCTGAGCGGGCTCCAGGTTGGGGATTACCAAGTGGGCATTTGGGGACAGGGCTTCATCTCACCGCACCTTCATTCACTTACTGTTCCCTTAAATGCTTATTGGGGGGTCTTTGCTGGGGTGTCCTTCCCCTGTCTACCCACACCACCTGGCAGCCTTCAAAGAGATTATGCTTCCTGTCTCGGGGAGCACCCAAGCATGCGGACTCTGGCCCCCTCTCATTAATTTCCATAAAATCTTGTGCCCAGGGCTCTGTATGGTGACTCTCTTTAGGTCAAACTTACCTGCCAACAACTGGACTTCCCTGGTCCATCGGCCCAACCCATTTTCACCGCTCCCCCAATCCCCAGGCGAATTCTAGAGCTATTCAAAAGGCCCGGCTGTCATTGAATCCCCTTCCCTCCCTTTCCCCACCACCCTCTGTGGAGCTTCTTTCCCACAGAGCCAGAGCACCTGCTTAGAAATGGCAGCCGCCTTCCTTGGCAAGCAGCTCTGCTCAGCTCTCTCAGGCTGTGGGTTTGGCCAGGTCGGAGTGCGGCCCCTGAGGAAGGGGCTGCTGGGACTGGCTCGGATACTCAGCCTGCAAAGCCAGGGCTTAACAGCTGCCTGCCAGTCCTGGAGGGTACTGCCGGCTGTCCTGTGGATGCCTGGCCACCCGCCGAGCCTGCCTTTGTCTCAGCCTTCTGCAACCTGGGCTCAGGCCCCTACTCACAATGTGGAACTGCCCTGAGGGCTCTGGCCAGGTGCCAGGCCTGGGGAGCGGACTGCTTTGCTCTGGGGTGCCCGCATCCCCAGCTACAGCTGTGAGAAAAAGGCAAGCCGGCATGCCCCAGGCCACAATGGAGGCACCGAGGCAGGAGGCCCCACTCTACTGGGACAGAAAGGCTTCCCTGGAGAGCCAGCTCCATGCCCTGTGGCCCCCAAGCTCGCCAGCCTCCACCCGCTCCAGAGTTAAGTAGGAACAAGGAATGCTGGCAGGAGCCGAGCTTCTGGCAGCCTTCAGATGCCAGTTTTGGTTCTCATCCTGGGCACCCAAGACGTCTCTAGGCTTTTCTGGGTTTATACAATCGAGTTTGGCTCACTTATTTTGCTTAATTCTAGCCAAATAAATAAAAGCTTCAAAACGTGTTATCAGTTAGGATGACCTGCCCAAGATCCTGGACCAGGTCAGCAGATTTCTTGACTCTCCAATGGGCTTAAAAAAATTGAGACATGGTCAAGTCCAAGGCAACTGGTATCCATGCTATATCCCGGCACTGCTGAGTTCAACGCCTTAATCCTCCACTAATGTGCACAGCGGCTTTGATGCCTCCTCCCCCTGGGCTCTGTGCAACCACTGCTCAAGTTAGAAGGATGGCTGAGACCCGCCCCCCACCACTGAAATCAGTCTCAAGGAGGAAAAGGTCAGACCTGGGTTCCAAGTCTCTCTCGTGCTTACTGTTGTTTCTTAGTTACTTCACACCTTACTTTTCAGGTGTAAAACAGATCTCAACAGCGTGTACCTCATAGGTTGTGAGAATTAAGGGGAAACTATAGCCTTGCTGAAAAGACCTGCCAGGTCACCAAGTACCACCCAGAAGCACTAGCAATTTAGATAGAAAATCTGAGAAACTAGCTCCTAAAAATGACTGACGAGCTCTTCCCAGAGGCCAGCACTCCAGTAAGGGGGAAAGGGGACCTGAGTCTCTTTTGTTCTAGTCTCTGTGCTCCCCACACTTTGTCCTACAGAAACCCCATTCTGGCACATCTTGAATGTGTGGTGTGGCTGGAGTCCCAAGCTTGGCCAGAGGAAGCACAGTTCCTACTTCCCATCTTCCTGCCTGACCCCGCAGCACAAGTGGGTGTTCATCAATGGGGGCAGGAGAACAGGGGCCTGTGCTTGGATATGAAAAAAAAAAAAACTAAGAACAAAAATGAGAAACAACGACAGAACACCCGAGACAGTTTAAGGTCTCTCCATTTCTCTTTAATACTGAACAGTATTTTTCATACAGTTGTAACATGATCTCAAGAGAAGTAAGAAATATTACCGATAGACTTCGGGGTGTAAAAATATCACTCTTAAGGGTGGCTAGCTGAGTTTTTGTTTTACCCAAGTATATTTTTTCAAGTTTTCAAGTTTGCAGTGTCATAAATCTTAGGATTACAATCAAAGCTGTAGATGATGTTTTATTTTGTAGGGATGCTTTCCTGTAGCCTGAAGTCCGAGATGCTGTGGCAGTGGTTCTCAAACTCAAGCATGCATTGGAACCCTCTGGACAGCTTGTTAAGACAGTACTGACCTCCAGACTTGCCGATTCAGCAGGTCAGAGAGGGGTCTGGGAATGTGCATTTCTAACAAGTTCCTGGGTGATGCTGTAGCCACCCTGGTCCCATACCACCTCGGAGTGCCACATATAAAGGAAACAAATCTAGCTGTGGTCAAGGCTGGTTAAACTTCCAGCCTCTGGCCCCTTCTCACCATCTCAAGGGAAGCTGCTCAGGTGTCTGCAGTTCTAACCTGACCCCATTCCCTTAGTGTGCACCTTCCAGTTACTTAAAATTAAAATGCTGCAAGGTTATTTATGCGTGGATAATATATAATGATTGATTTCTGCTGGGCTTTGCCTATCTCTAAATCATACTTATTTCTAATAACAAATAAGCCAAGGAAAAGCCCATTTCCACTTACAAACTTGTAACCCATCCATCATTTAGGGCTGGGGTCCCTTGGTCCTCCCCTCAGTGGCTTCTTGGCCCCCTCACCCTGGGTACTCTCTCAAGTCTGTCCGTGGAGAGCTGGGCCCACTCTTGGCCAGTTATGAAGCCATCGCAGGAGCTTAAAAGCAGTTCCAAAAGCTTCTCTGGGGTCCTGGCTGTCCTCTCCCCATCCCAGAGGGCAGGACACACACTGTTTGCTGGGGATAGAGACATCGGCCTCTCCCAAGCTGGACCTCAGCTCGGGGACACACCTCCCACTCACAAACGGCGTCTCGGCGGGATCTACATTCTCTGGAGCTGGGCAAACAGCCCTGAGCTTGATCCCACCCCAGGGCTGCAGCTGCCACCAAGGCCAAGGAGCAGGGCCTGAGAGCAAACGAGGAAGCTGACTGGCCTTATTTTAACATCCCCTGAATAACCAAGTGGCTCTGAGTTTGACAGCTCATGACCTTAAAAGATAACCTGATACCATGCACTGTTCTCAGGAAGGTCTGGCTACAGTCGGCAAACCAGGGCCATGAGACGTTCACGTGAAGCCCAAGCAACAGGCAGGCATTCAGGACAACGCGGTCTCAGCACAGTGAACATCTACACAGCCACAGGGAGGGCATCTCTGGACAAAGGTCACATCCAGAGGAAAAGAGCACCACATGTTAGTTTATGGCAGAGGGAAACCAAGTTTTTTCCTCTCCAACCACTTCCCCAACAGCTGAATTAGTGAAGAGACTGCAGTATACAAAGAGCTCCCAAATATGTCTAGGTCACTACAACCTGGCCTCGGTGCCACTGGAACTTTCAGAGCTTCTGTATTCAAAAGGAAAAAAAAAAAAAAAATCACATAGTGTACAGCGAAGTGTTGTGCACAAGTCAGTATCCAATGACCTCTGTCACCGAAGTCAGCCTCAACTTGTTCCACAAGCTGTGTGGGTGCCCGGTGGCCAAGTCCAGAATGCAGTGCACCCCCATGCACACTGGGGTGAGCTGTTATTGTTCATCTGCAACAAGATCACACTCAGTGATCCCAGGTCCCTCTGAGTTGACCCTCTAGAGGGCACAAGGCAGGTCTGCTCTGTTGGCATTTCTCTGCCTGAGTCACCAAGCACCAGGCACAAGGCTCACTCAGGGCTGCCTGGGGCTGAGGGGCAGCTCTACTCCCTATAACACTCTTGCTTTTTGGATCCAACACCAGAGGCAATTCCCAGTGAGCATTACCAAGAAAACAGGCGACAGTGGCACCCATGTTTACAAACAGCTGACCAATGTGGCCGCACCAGAATCAGACCATTTAAGCATATTTTCTGAAGGCTGGGAGTTAGGGCAACTGGACATTAAAAGGAAGACCACCTCCTCTTACCAGGCTATCCGGGGACTCAACTTGCCCGACTGGGAAGGAAGGCCCAGGAGGAGCAAGGTGCCTAGCAAGGCCTCTCATAGGGTCCCATCTTTAGTGCCCTCTCCACGGCAATGGAGGGGGAGATACATCTTAGAAGCCTTTGGTTCACCTTCTCTCTAGGCAAAGAACATTCCTTTGGGAAAAAAATATTCTTGAAAACTTGGGAGGGAAAGAAATACCGGTGAGAGAAAGAGAACTACAGGCTGCACATTCCATGTTTTAGCGTGTGGTTTCCAGACAGCCACTTGTTTTGCTTACAGATTCACCTTGTGGTACCAGGTGGAGCTGAGCAGTGCACCATCCACACAGCTGAAATGCAACTCACAGTCGTCATTTGATTTCTTGATCTTCATATGCTCCAAATTCTTCAGAAAAGTAACAGGCAATAGCTGTCCCTCTGGTCTCACTTTATAGCCAGGGAAATTACCAAAAGAAAAATCTTGGCTCCACCACCTTTACTTACAGAAGGTAAAATACTTAACAGAGACAGATTTCTGTTGAGTTAGACTCGATTTCTTTTCACAGCCCTTAATCTCACGAGGTGAGAAGGCATGGAAGTTGCCAAGTTGTTGGCTACCAGACCCATCAGTCTGTTTAACTCTGGCTAAGAGCAGAGAATAATGGGCAAGTTACCAAGTTTCCCCCCTTCAGCTCTGGTGTGAATTCTGAAGTTGTGCAAGATCCTCATGTAACACACACACACACACCCCACTGCAATTCCATTTGCCACACAGTCCAAAGCAAACGTAGCATTGTGATTTTTCACAGTCCTCACAAAGACAGGAACACAAATTAGAGGACTAGAAACTGAAGGTGTTTTGGTTTTCCAGCTGGACTCCCACTCGGGCCAACTCTCAGTGGTCCATTCGCACCTGCCCTCCAGATCGGTCACATAAATGTTCTTCTCACAAACATAGATGTTTATGAGCTCCTTCTCTCTGATCCACCGCATTCTGCCAGTTCTTTAAAAATGACGACTGAGCCTCGGTGTGGAGGCTGAAGGGAAAGACCCTGGGCTGCCAGCAGGAGGCACTCACAAGCAGCGAGGGTGTCCCTATCGCCCCCCCCCCCCGACTCTGGGACAGAGTGAAGGGAACACTTAGGTTATCTCCATCTCTGGGGAAGAAATATTTGTCCTTGAAAATAAATGTAGGCCCCTGGCCTCTGCACTTCACTCCCAGTTTAGGAGTCTGTGTGGAGGCCCTTCCAAGGAAGGCTGTTCTGCGGTGACTCTCAGCGGGCACAGCAGGGTCAGGCTGGCTCTAGGTCAGTCTAAGGTGGGAGTGGGAGTGCCTTGCAGGGGGAACCTGTATTTAAGTTGATTCTCCCTCTCAACGTTCCCTACTCAGCTTTACCCCATCACATCTCAGCCACCGTTCAGCAATCACCTTCCAACAGTGAGGTCAAAATGCCAATGCAAAAGAATGGAACAACATGCTGCCCGGGGCCACCAAACTTGGCCCTAAACTAACGGGAGTGTCTTACTCATAAAATGACCAGGCGTGTTCTATACAGGCCTTACTGTACTGATCAGGGTCTGGTGACAGCAGGAGAATAGCAAGGCTTTTGAACAGGGGACCTTGTCATTCTCTGAGGTGCTACTTCTCATAATGAGGAGTGAGCAGAACGGCGCTTAAACAAGGTCCCACTTATTTTTAACAAAAGACTTCTTAATGCAAACCTAAGGACCATCCCTGGTCTAAGTTTATAGAAGACTATCTGAATAAGTCTTAAAACTTTTAAAACATAAATAACCTGATATCCTACCTTTGAAGCCCTTTGTAACAGTCTCTTTTTTTCCTAATTTAAAAAGAAATAACTTATTTATATATCAAAATTTGAGTTGAGTGTAAACATGGATGCCAACCACCCTTTCAGCTTTATAAATTTGCTTTTAGCTTTCATTAACAGGCAGATTTCCTTACCTACCATGCTCCTAAACAAGATAGAATATCCTTCTTTAAAAATTGTTACAAATATTTATTAAAAAGTGCAATTCAAAAGTTAGCTGGGCAAGCGCACTTGTTGCAAAAAATCACAAAAAAGGGGAACCTCCCCCCCAAAACCAATCCACAAGAAATACAGACAAAACAAGAAAAGTAAGAAAAAAGTTAGGGTGCCGAGGAAAGCACGAAAAGACAAGGAAAGGAGGAGGCCAGGCTTCAACTCTGCCCGGGTGCTACTGCTCTTTCCAAGTGCAAAGGCAGCGGCGCCCAGAGGCCAGCAGCCCCCGGGGCCCAGCTGCGGCTCTGGGTCCAGCTGCTACTCTAACATCAGGTTATGCATCGGGGAAGCTATAAAAAATATCCTATATACATGTGCGCATTCGAGGCCTTTAAAGCCATCAGAAGCTTGAAGTGTAGTGTCTCAGCAGCTTCAGCTACTTAAGCTCAATTAAAGCATCTATCATTACATTTGGATTGGCTCAGTTATTAGAATGGATGATCCAGTCAAGCTGACATCTTCAGGAAGAAAAGAGTCAGGTTCACTTACCCGTCTTGCCATTACTCACAGGGTAAGGGAAATCTGGCCCAGAAATAGCCTTTTTGGGTCAAGATGGTTTCTGCGTAAATGTAATAAATGTACTAACCACTCCAACCCCATCCCCCAATGGAGAGTGCCACCAGAATAAAATAAGTGTCAGTGAGGACAAGCCAGCATCCTAATCCGTTTGAGTGCGCTTCTGCACTGTTCAGCAATGATGTATTCAAGGGTTCCCCTAAAAATGTAAGTTGCACCTCTGGGAAGAAGCCCCAGGACAGCGGCGTGCAAAGAGCAGGTCTGGCCCCCCCTCTGGAGACACCATCACCCCTTCCCTGGGCTGCGCCAGAGCAGGTCCTGGTGCGCCTTTTAACTGCTCTTGTCCATTAAAGCCAAAGGCTGTTAGCGACCCCAAGCCCCAGGGTGTCTCACTGTTTCCATTAGTTTTCCCACCACACAAAAAAAGCACCTGGAAAAGCAATTTTATCTCAGCCCTGACCCCTGAAAAATGAAACACGGCATTTGCAGTCACAAACTGCTTCTGAGCCTTCTGTCCCCGTCAACAACCAGCTCTTGGGGAGTGAGAAATGCTCTAGCGATGGGAAACGGCCCGCCCAGGCTGCCTCCTGGCCCAGGCCGCCTCCTCGACAGGGATCTTTTGATGGACAGCAGAAGAAAGAAGCTGCCAGAGACGGGCGAATCGGGCTCTGCCGACCCTTCTGGGCGACTCAGTCTCTCCTCAGGGAGTGGGGTCCAGCAAGGCAAAGCAGTGGCTAGTGGCCCCCAAACAGGACGGGCAGCAGGGGTGTCGTCCGACAGGAGTGCAGTCCCTCTTCCTCTTCTCGCCAGTCCTGCCAGCGCGGGAGGGAGGGGCGTCTGGCGGTGGAGTCGGGAGGAGTGTGTGCCCAGGGCACTGCCCCTGCCCTGGCTCCTGTGCAGGAGGAACCCGGGCCACGGGCGCCACCGTCACAGCACCAAGAAGAGGACCAGCACGACCAGCAGGATGGCGAAGAGGACAGCGATGGCACACCACTGGCGCCGATCTGAAAGGCAGGGCAGAAAGATTAGCCCTCCTGGGGCTGTGTGTCCCCAGACACGGGTGCAAGGATTAAGGCAACGGGGCAGAGGACCTGGACCCTGCCTGGTTGCCTGGGACGCTAATGGTGCTCTGATCTTGGGCTGCGCTTAAGACTTTGAACATGGGCCTGGTAATAAGTACGTGCTCTGAGTCCAGGTCTTTAATTAAAATCCGTGGCTCTTAGCTTTTTTCTGGGGGTTAGTGCGTCCCTGGAAAAGGTGCTGGAGTTGGCATTACAGATCAAAGCCTGCCTGCTTTAATCTCCCACCAAAGTCAAGTCATTTAATTCAACAATGATCATGCTCTTTTCTCAATGAGAGGGTGGAAGGGAGATGAAAGCTACTGCTGGTCACTTCAGGAAATGAACAGCTGAAAAAGCTGCTCTCCAGTGAGAGAGGAGGATTAATTTCATACCATACCACTCAAGGAAGACGTAAGATTACTTAGCCAGTAACTGTGATAAAGTAATTTATATGGCTCATCTGCAAGTGCAAGTGGAATGCCTTTTCTTTTCTACACTGCCAACAGGTTAGAACTGCAGGCACAGAACACGGACCCGAGTCCCTCTCAATGGCCGAGAGCAGGGAGGGCAGCGGTCAGAAGAACCCGGGCAGGCCTGGGGAGGCGGCAGTGCCGCCTGTGGTCCATAACTCTACACCAGCTGTAGCTACAAGGGGACAGTCACACAGTGCGCAAGCATGGAACACAGGAGATGCCATCATCATCAGGAGGCTTCCTTACCGGGGGGAACCAGCTGGCCCTCATAGGTGAGCCCTGCTATCTTCCACAAAGGGTCTGACTGATGGAGAAGATTTTCACTAGGCCATAAAGAGGCAGCTCAACCACAGGAATAAGAGTTCCAGCTGAGCAGCAGGATAAGGTACACGGATTCAGTAAGTTTACTGGAAAGCCCACAGGCCTTAGCACACCAGAGACCTAGGCTGTGATGAGGGCTGGATCTAGGAAAACAGATGGCAAATGGCAAACATCGCCACAAAGCAAAACATGCACTTAAAGTCATTTTAAATGTCATAGATATAAAAGTCTTAGAACTGGCCAAGAGAACTGCCAAAGACACTAGGTAAACACTAGAAAGACACTGGTATTATCTTAGTGTGCAAACAAACCCTGTCTACCTCAGCCGCGCCAGGACCCTCTAAGTAACCCTGGGATCAGGACCAAGATCCCAGGTCACCCACATCTGTGCTGAAGTCGTGCTGCTCCAAAGGACGCGGGAGCAGGTTCAGCCTCCCACAGCCTGTCAATGTGCTCAACTAACACATCCATGGTCAGGAAGGCTTGTGTATCCACTTTCTTTCTTCTCTCTAGAGAGCTGAACTTCCAGTTTCCAGTCCAGCATGGAGGGAGCTTAGAAGTTAGCACTTTTTGTCCCATCAAGTAAAAAGCTGAACTGAAAACTGAGTAACTTCCTAGATCCATCAGACAAATAAGGTCACAGGGTAGAAGGCTGCCTCCAACACTGAGAAATCTATGGTAAACACAGAAAATCACAACAGAACAGAAATCCTCCGGCAGTAGCCTCCACTGGAACTGGTGCCCCGAGGGAAAGCTGAACAACCATGGTCAACACTAGAAGCTGGGGGTGGCCAAGTCGCAGTCAGAAGAGCCCCAGGGAGTCTCCTGAAAAGGACCCCCACCCTCCTCTGAGTTTTACCTCCTGAAGCTCAACCAGATTCTCACAGAAAATGTGGAGAAAAATCTCTTCTCGCTTCTGAAAGATAAAGGGGTAAAAAACCATTTTGCAATAAGCCAGAGAATTCTGTTCTTCACAGGACCATTCCATTTTTTCTGCACAAACTGTTTTGCCAGAGCCTAACCTGTTGGGGTTTATCAGAACCTAATTACCAGGGAGATGGGAAATGACCAACTCCAATTCTAACCTAGGCTTCCTCAGAACCTAACTATAATTTTCCTGTGTCACCTGGATAACCCCAAGTGTGGAAATGAGTTAAGATACAACAGCAAAGAATGCTATCCACGAAAGAAAGAACTGATATCGGGACTTCACTAAAATTAAAAACTTCTGCTCTGTGAAAGACACTGTCAAGAGAACGAGACAAGCCACAGACTTGGGATAAAAAATTTGCATAAGACACATCTGGTAAAGGATTGTTATCCAAAATGCACAAAGAGGGCTGGGGTTGTGGCTCAGCAGTAGAGCACTCACCTAGCACATGTGAGGCCCTGGGTTCGATCCTTAGCACCACATAAAAATAAATAAATAAAATAAAGGTACTGTGTCCAACTACAACTAAAAAATAAAAATTAAAAAAATGCACAAAGAACTTCTAAAATTCAACAATAAGGAAACAGCCTGGTTAAAAAAAAAAAAAAAAAAAAAAAAAGCAATAGACCTCAACAGGCACTTCACCAAAGAAGATAATTGGATGTCTTTTCATTCAACATCAGCTGTTATAAGGCAACATGGCAAATCTAGACAACAATGAGAAACCGCAACCCCATGTCAGAATGGCCAAAACCAAAACATGAGAATACCAAATGCTGGTGAGGCTGCAGAGCAACAGGAGCGCCTGGTGGAAATGCAAACTCGGGCCGCCACTCTGGAAGACAGTTCACTGACTTCCCACAAAACCAAACATACTCCTGCCATAACCATGAAGCAGCGATGCTCCCCGTTATTTACTCAATGAACTACAAGTCCCTACAAAAATCTGCACATGGATATGGCAGCTTTATTCATAATTGCCAAACTTGGAAGTAAACAAACACGTCCTACAGCAGGTGATGCCTAAGTCAAATTAGTGCCCCACTAAACGCTATTACTAAGAGTGAGAAGCTGATCTGAAAACGCTCTGCACATCTGACTCCAACTGTATGCACATCTGACTCCAACTGTATGCACACTGGAAAAGGCAAAACCATGAGGACACTAAAAGGATCAGTGATTGCCAGGGGTTAAGGAGGAGGGAAGGATGAACAGGAATCAAAATCAAAACTACAATGAGCTTCCACCTCACCAATGACAATGGCTATTATAAAAAAGACAACAATGACAAATGCTGGCAAGGAGAAAAGGGGAGCACTCACCCACTGCGGGGAATGTGAATCAGCACAGCAAATGGGAAGGAGGCTCCTCAAAAAAATTAAAAATAGAGCTACCTTGCAACCCCGCAGCCTCCCCTCTGGGTCTATGCCCAAAGGAGATGAAATCACCATGTTGAAAACACACCTGCACGCCCAGGGCACTGCAGCGCTATCCACAACAGCCAGACTGAGAATCAACCTAAACGTCCATCAACAAACAGAGATAAAGAAGATGTGGTACATCTGCGAGATCCAACACTCTTCAGCATGAGATCCTGCCTCTTTGGACCTGAAGGAGACTGTGTTGACTGAATAAGTTAGGTTCAGAAAAGTAAACACTACATCACCTCACTCATATGTGAAATCTAAAAAAGATCTCATCACAGTAGAGAGCAGAATAGTGGTTACCAGAGAAAGAGTGGGAGATGGGAGAGGTTGGCCAACAGGGACAAGGTTGTACTGTTTGGCAGGAGAACTAAGTTCTGGGGTTCTATAGCACGGAGAGTGAATAGAACTAACAACAGTGCATCACAAAACTTAAGAGAGTCAGGAGAGAGGATTGTGAATGTACCCACCATAAAGAAATAACACAACTTCAAGGTGATGGACATGCTAAGCACTGAGTGGGGATCACTCACTACCCCAAGCATATGACAATCGAAACATCACACTGTACCTTGTAAATATGCACAAATATTATGTATCAATCAAAAGTTAAAAGAAAAAAGAAATTTTAGGGTACCGAAACTTCTGTATACGATAGTGGATACAAGTCATATTTCTGTCAAAATCTCCAGAATGAACACCAAAAGTCACCCTAAAGTAAACTATGGATTCTGGGGGTGATGATGACATCTCAACGTAGGTTCATGGATTTTAACCAATGTACCACTGTGGTATCAGAAGTCAAGAGAAGCTTGGTGGAGGGAGGAGGGGTTATAGGGGAAATCTTTGTATTTTCCTTTTCATTTTGCTGTGAACATAAAACTGCTTTAAAATATAAAGCTTATTGATTAAAAAAGAAAAACAAATATTTTCAACAATTTAAAACCACTCGTACTAAATGGTTAGTTCATACTCTCACTGGGCAAAAACACAGAAGGTTAACTGCTTCCCCTGCCCCAACCTCCACACACCTCCTGTGTGCGCGGGGTGGGTGGGCAGCACCAGGCCATCCTTGGTGCGTGATTCCCAGAACCAACTCAGATTCCCAGTTTCTGGCTTCGCATTAGCCTCTAGCCAGATTCCTACCCTCCCCAGTCACTTTCTTTTCTACAACCGCATTAAATAGGGGTTTTCCTCAAGTGAAAACACACAGCACAAGAGCTAGCACAGCCAGGCCTGCTCTTTTAAAGCCATTTTCCTTTGAAGTGGTTAAGCTGCTTCTCTGAGGCATGAACTAGGTAACTCCAGGGAGCTGCTGCCCTGGCGGACTCCTCCCAGCGCTTCTTGCAAGGCTTCAAGCACAGAAGGAAGGGGCAGAAACCACAGGGGCTTTTGTGACCTCAAGTGAAAAGTTTAACCTGTGTTTTCTTCTTTCTTCTTCTTTTTATTTTTTTGTTGTTCATGCTACCCCCACACCCACACTGTACCCCTGAACTCTACCCCCAGCCCTCAATCCGCCTTGCAAGCGCAGGGCCTGGTAGACAAAGGGGAATGAAGGGAAGGGAGGGGAGACGGGACAGGGAAAGACAGCAGAGTGAATCGGACATCACTTTCCCGTGTTCATGTGTGAATACATGACCAGTGAAACTCCACACCACGCACAACCACAGGAATGGGAAGTCATGCTCCATGTGTGTGTAATATGTCAGAATTCATCCTACTGTCATGTGTAGCTAAAAAGAACAAATTAAAAATTAAAAAAAAAAATTAAGAGGGGAACAAAGAGAACTCCAAAGGTAATTGTTCTGACTTCCCCTCTTGCTCTCCAAACACTTTCCTCTGTTAAACAGAAAGATGAACGACAGAATGTTGGGAAGTAAGGTAAGTGTGGGGGGGATTCTTAAGTATATTCACTTAAGAATATACTTCTCCGGCAGAAAAATGATAAAAGTTAGTGTTTCTCTTGAGTCATTCAATAAGTGAGTGTGGACTCTGGGCTGACTTCTTCGTGAGCAGGGGCGAGGGCTCGGCCTTGAGCACTGTGGAGGTGTGTGCAGGGCTGCCTCATCAAACTCTGGTGAGTAGATTTGATTTAAAAGCAGTTAGCGTCATCAAAAGTTAGGAGGGGAACAGAGGCAAGTACAAACTGCCTGCTCCACAAATTGGAGCAGACCCACCTGCAGGAGGCGGCCCCGGGGTGTTTCTCTTGGTAGTGAGCAAAGGTGAAAGGAAAACAGTGAAGAGCTTTTAGGACAACTGCTGTTTCCAGGCTCTTTTTCTTGTGCAAATATAACCAAAGTTCTCGCTCTGCTTCCCAAACTTCCCCTTTGGAAGAAGACAGAATCAAGCACAAGCAAGACCAGTGCTGTTGTACCCACAGAGGCGCTGACCTCAGTGCACTATTCAGAGCAGGAACGCTGGGGACAAAGACAGTGCATCTTTGTTCAGTTGCCCTTCCCAACAGGGCTGGCGCTGAAGTAGCTACTTGACTTTACAACTAACACATACACTGGTGAGGGGCCGCTATTTAATCTGCTTGTATAATACTTCATTAAAACTTTTTTTTTTGTTTTAAGTGGAGGGTGGGAGAGGAGAGAACAGAGGGAATAAAAAAGAAGACGCTGCCAGCCTTTCTCTAGGCATGTGACCGATGCATGAAGCTGGTCCTGCTGCCGTTTATACACAGCTGCAGACAAGGAAGAGCCTGCTCTAAGCAGAAAAATACTAGCCCCTGGAGAGAAAGAAGGAAATAACTAGATTCCCCTTTGTTTTGGATTTGACAGGTCCTCTGCTTCCTAGGACCATCTGGTGCCTTAGGTAATTTTTAAACTTTTCGTAAGTACTAATATGTAATAGACAATGTTAAACACTTCTATATTATTAAATTTCATTTAATCCTCACAAGTACTTAAGAGGTAGGAATGAACCCTTTTTGGGGTGGGGGGCAGGCTGCTGATGATCAAACCCGGGGCCTTGCACATGCTAGTCAAGTGCTCTGCCGCTCAGCTGCATCCCCTGCCCTCAGCCTATTTTCAAAGATAAAAACTGAGCCCAGAGAGCCGTTATGTAACCTGGCTATGTCTTAAACTGCTGCAAAGTAAATGCGCATGTGTACTTAGGGCTTATATGTCACATGTACCTCATAGCAATAAATTAACAGAAGAATGAGGTGTCAAGAAGCAGAAGCTCGGGGCTGGGGATACAGCTCAGGTGGTAGAGTGCTTGCCTCGCATGCACAAGGCCCTGGGTTGGATCCCCAGCACCACAAAGAAAAAAAAAGAAAGAAAGAAAAAGAAACATGAGCTTCTAATGGGTTCTGTGGTCCACAACACTAAAATTACCTCAGGGAGTCTCTCCAACCACCAAGCCACCTCTACCAGATAAAGATGATGTTGGAGATTTTTATTGTTTGTTTGTTAAATATATTACTTCCCAGATAATAGGGGAGGTGGTTTCTAGTAGTCAAAAAATATAAAGCATCATTGGAATATATCTTCCTACCCAGTAACCGATTTGAAAACTGTTTGTTACTCCTTCATCCTCATCCTCTGGTATAAATTTGCTAGGACATTTCATTGTGAATTTAAATACAACAATTTAAATTAAATCTACAAGGCCATCTTACTCTGACATAGTAGACATTTTTCTATCAGTGAAAGAAAGTTCCTAGAAAATAACTGGCTTATTTATTGCTTTAAATAAGTTCCCTATTTTGGCAAGGAAATAGGAAAAAAAAAAAAAAAAAGGATTTCGTAATTACAAAGAAAGTTGCCCCACTAAAAGAAAAATCACCAAACGTTGCAGGGAGGGTCACAAGGCCCTTTTCCCAAGTTAGGGGTACAAGTAGAAGCTGAGGCCTCTGTATTCCTGTCTTTTATTCTCTGATCCTAAGGCACCTCAAACAAATGCTCCACAGGAAAGGGGTCTGCGTGGGCATACCTGTGAGGGGACCCCAGAGCGCTTCGGAATTAAATACGAACTCATGAGATTTAAACATACATACCACTGGTCATGTGAGACACTTTTGCAAGTTTCTTCATCACATTGTCTAGCCGAGACTGAGTGCTCTCCAACTCGTGAGAGAAATCATCCAACATGCTAGAAAGAAGAGGCAGAAGGTTGGTGATACGCACAAAACTCAGCAAGGCACAGACCATGGAATTACGTCAGGATCTAGGTTCTATTTCAGCCAACTTAAAACGGGCAACATTGGGATTCAGTACCCAGTCTATTACTCAAAAATCCTTGGGACAAGATATGCTTCTTTTGATTTTGGAATTCTGGGAGTTTATAAAAAGATAAGTTATATATGCTACTATTAGTCAACATCCCCAGCCTGGTCTGAGGCATGCCCCCCACCCCCATAATCAACACATTTCTTTTTTTTCTTCATTTTTTTATAGTTGTAGATGGACAGCATGCCTTTACTTTATTTATTTATTTTACGTGGTGCTGAGGATTGGATCCACATGCCAGGCAAGCACTCTGCCACTGAGCTACAGCCCCAGCCAACACATTTATTCTTCTGTGGAAAAAACTATGAAAATTCACAGGTGCAGTCAGTTCAGACGAGGTTTTCTGTAAGACCAGCATGCTGCATATTAAAAAAGAGAAGCTTGATTTTTAGAGCTTTCTGGATTTCGGAATTGCAGATACGGCAGCGTGGACCTGACTGCACAATACTACAAACTTACTGATAGGGCCACAGGGCAGAATGCGACTCTGAGAAGTCAGATAGCCAGGCTCTGTCCTTCTACCTTGGTCAAGGTACCCTACAACTTTGGGAGGACTGTTTTCTCACTTGTAAAATGGGGTGATCCTACCAGCCCCATTCCCCTCATGGGGTACTTGTGAAAACCACATAAAATACAAAAGCGCCGTGTGTCAACAAGGGTTAAGGAACGTACTTTAATGAGATATATTCTCCCTTAAATCCCTCTTTGCTTGATCATAATCGGAAAGCGTCGGCACCAACATCCCTGAGGGGCATCACCGCCTCCCCTACTCAGAGGAGCCACAGTTTCCTCCAGGAAAACCAGCACCAGGAGACACTTTCCTTATTTGCTGGCCAATGTGTAGCAGGGAAAGCAAACACCAAAATCTGGTCCTCTTACTCCATCAATCACCACACATTCCAGACCTTTCAGCTGTTGATTAGCCCATGATTATTCTGCGGCTAGAATTAACACACCAATTAGTACCAGGGGCCTGACTACAAAGGCCTTCTTAACTCTGACAGAGTCACTGGCAGCTAGAAACTGTTGGTCTTGGTGTGTGCCCAGAAAGGACACATGACAGTCCTGCAGGATTTGGGACCATCAACTCCTCATTAAGTCAATTACTAAATAAACTCCACATCAACAACTAAATAAATTTGTGTCCCTTACCTTAATTCTCACACTACAACATTTTTAGCTCCTCTTAGAGCCTGGCAGCACTGCAGCCCTGCAGCTGGCAGGCCTCTGTGGGCAGGGCCCAATGCTGAAAAACAAGAGCTACCTTTGTGTGCTGGGTACGACTTCTCTTACTGAGACAAAGCAGGCATGTCGCTAACCTTTAGCCAAGGACACCCACAGGCCAAGCGTCCAGTCCTGCTCTAACTCAACGCCCGCCAGCCGAAGGGCACTGTGGCACACATGACATTTTACAATTTCCAGGAGCCATGTTTAAAAAATAAAAACTGCTGAAATTAAGGGGCTGAGGTTGTGGCTCAGAGAGACAGCGCTCACCTAGCATGCACAAGGCACTGGGTCTGATCATCAGCACCACATAAAGTAAAATAAAAATATTGTGTCCACCTAAAACTAAAATATAAATTTAAAAAAACTGCTGAAATTAACTAATAATCTACTCTGTCTATTCCAATATGTGTAAAATATTACCATTTTAACATATCATTAATGCAAAAATTACTAATAAATTATTTTATACTTTTTTCACCTCAAAATCCACTGTGCACTTGACTCCTAGAGCACACCTCCATCTGAATGCTCACACTTCACCTGCTCAACAAGCACATGTGGGTGTGACTCGTGCTATTTACTGGCACCATCAGCCAAAGATTCATGTTTTTTCCTTTTAATTTACTTATTTTTTACCAGAGTGACATACATACCTAGTTTAAAGAGATAAATGGTCTGAAAGCCTTTTTACAAAAACCATGGTTGTTTTCTGTTCCCCAGGGCAGGTGCTTCCACCCCCTCACAGTCTTCTCTTGGTACATTCTCCATTTTTAGAAGTAACATCCTTGTACCCCAAGACCTTGACTTTTATTTTTATCTTCAGACTTTACCTGTTGGCTCAGCACTACCATAGAATTTAGCTCTCTTCCTATCTGATCTCACCTCTGCATCCTCCCCATTTCCCTCTGATTGTACAGTCACAGTTTGATTAGATCAATATTCAGTCCTAATTTACATTAGGACTACTGAATAAATGCTACCCATGGCTGGGGGCTGTGTGGTGGGACTTGGAGCTCAGTTGTGGTCACCTCTGGCTGAGGGTTCACCCTTCTCTGGCCTGCCAAGTCTATAACCAGCCTCTGCCTGCTTTCTAGGATCTAAACTGTTATGACTGTTTTATTTCATATTTTATGACCCCATAAGTTTTAAGCCTTAAAAAAAATTCCTTTGCCATTGTTCTAGTGGATTTAGAGGGAGTAGAGATGGGGTGTGCTCAATTCACATCTTTAACTGGGAGCCTCAGGTTTTCTCTATTGTCTGTTTGCTTCACCAACAGACTACCTCAGGTCATTAATTCCTTCCCATCTCAACAAAGGAATTTAGAGTCTAATCTGTGTTTGACAGGAAGCAAAGTCTAGATTCCTGCTATTCCAACTGCCTAGCTGGTCTCCCTGCCTGGATTCACCCTGGGACACCACCTAAATCACACAGCAGCTAAGCCTCTCCAATACCTGATCCCACCTCACTCCCAAAGCCGCCTCCCCGGTCTCCCAGCAAGCCCAACCCGAGAAGTCCTGCCTCCTTACCACCCAGAGGAGGCCTTTCCTGCTCCCTGTCTGCCTCCCCATCTGGACTTTGGCCACTCCCTCTGATGCCCATGCTACAGACAGGGAACCTCTCACTCCATTCACCCTTCTGCCTCCAAATCTTTACAGGTAGGTGTTCTTTCTTCCTCCTGGTGCACGCCCCCTCACTGCCTTCTGGCACAAGCACGAGTCCCACCTCACCGGCTATCTTCTACCCAGTCTGCAGGTTTCAATTAAACCCTTCTTTCTCAGAGAATTTCGGCTGTCAGAGCACCCTGGGCAGCAGCTCTAGACCAGTCCCGGGGAACTTCCTATTTCACTGTCAACGCTTACCATATTGACTTCATTTAAACAATGTCCATTTCACTCACAAAGTGGCCAACTCTCTGAATGGCAGACACAGTGTCTCTTCTGTTTGTGCTATGCACCCAGGGCCTCCTAGAGGGCCTGGCGTAGAACAGGTGTCCAGTAAGAATCTATAATGGATGCTTGTGTAATCTAAGACTGAGATAGGAGAGTTTTGAAATATCCTGATGGACTGTCTTGTTTCCCAGAAGAAAATTTGTAAAATGGTAAAAGTACTGCATGGTGGCATTTAAGAAGGTTGTTTTCGCTGGTCATGGTGGCACACACCTTTAATCTGAGTGACTTGGAAGGCTGAGATAGGAGGATAATAAATTCCTAGGCCAGTCTTGGCTACTAAGCAAGACCCTGTCACAAAATAAAACTTAAAAGGGCTAGGATGAAGCACAGCAGTAAAGTTTGCTTGAAGTCAATCCCCAGTTTAAAAAAAAAATTTTTTTTTTTTTTTTTTTGCTATCATACTTTATGACGTAAAAGAGATTGGCCATTTAAAAAGTTATGTTTCCTTGGTCTGGGGCTATAGCTCAGTGGCAGAGTGCTTGTCTCTCATGTGCGAGGCACTGGGTTTGGTCCTTAGCACCGTATAAAAAAAAAACTAAACAAATGAAAGCATGCTGTCCATCTACAACTAAAAGAAAATAAAATTAAAAAAAAAAGTTATGTTTCCTTGATTTTTTGTTTTGTTTCTGAGAGGAAAATTTCCTTGCTAAATATAGAGTTAAATTTCTTAGTTTTTCTATTAAATTATTATTTAAGTTAAAGCAAAGTCCTGTCAATGCAGCAGCAGCCACGAGAAGACAGAGTGGCAGAGCTCCTAATGCCACCTGCACAGGCCTCCCTTCACACTGTCCATCCCCTTTGGAACAAAAATCTCCAGAGGTTACATCCCTGTTCACATTTGCATTCATAATCATGCTTCAAACATTTGCTCAGAGAAATTTGTATCTGTTTTTGGAGGTGTTTAAAAATAATAACTATGCCCAAACCCTGCTGTAGATTTTATCTAAAGAGTTGCTTCTTTAGGGGAGGCTAGTCTACAACAGAATAAAAATGCAGCTATAAATAAAACAGCTTTTGGTTTTACAGTCACATAACTGCCAGGCCTTTCGGAGGTCTGTCCTATGAGATGGCTTTTTCTTCGGTCTCACTACAATGACAGGGGTGCCTCAATACTCACACTGCCTGTTCCTCCAGCTCCCCTCCAATGCGCTGGGACATGTTCTTCAGCACCCCGATGCTGCCAGAGACCAGCTCCAACTGCTCATCCTGCTGTTCCACAATCAACTGGTGCCAGAGAAACGGGAAATAAGCAATTAAAATCCATCTTACCTGGTTCCAAGCCCAGCACTCTAGCAGCTGCTAGTTTCTCTGCCAGCTTGGGACAATTCACATTCAGAAGCAAAGCCCAGAAATCAAAGGACCAGACCGTCGCCTCTGAGAACACGCTGCTCAAAAGGCTGGATTGTCAAGCTACTGATATCTCCTGCTGATCCAACTTGTGAACAGTCAGCAGGGCTTGAAACCACCAAGAGAGATTTACTCTGGTTGGCTGAAGTCCAATAAAGGAACAGACAATGGCTGAAAACACAAATGCAGATGACCACTGAGTCACGGGTATGTTTGGGAAGAGGAAGTCCACTGCCAGGATCAAGGTCTCCAACCACAACATACTGCCAGCTTAAATGTAAGAGACTGTCAAATCTCGGGATGTGGGAAAACTACAGTGTTTTTCTTCCTCCACAAACACAATCTAGAGGAAGCCGTATGGAAATGTTATCTCAAGGACAACTACTGAATGACAAATTAATGTTGACTTTTAATTGTGCTTTATACCCTCTCTTTCTATTAAAAAATGGCTGCTTGGAGGGAAGATACAGCTCAGTTGGGTAGAGTGCTTGCCTCGCATGCACGAGGCCTTGGGTTCAATTCCCCAGCATCACAAAACAAAACAAAACAAAAACAGTTTACGTCTGGCTAAAAAATGGTTGCTTGGTTAACAGCAACTTGAGTAAACTACTAGTTAAGGAGACATACTAATGGAAACAAAAGAACACATAACCTACACATACACAAAAAACACAGAATTTAAGAGCCAATAGTTTTAATAGACCTGATCGTCCAACCCCTAGATAGCTTTCTTTTAATAATCACAAATTAGAAGCACAACATACATATAGTCAATTTCATTTTCTTTCTCCTCCTCAACTTCCATCAAAGCAATTATTTTTCCATTTAATAGAATGCATTAATAATTTTCAGTGAAAAAACAAAAACTCAATCTTTCTGGAAGGATCTTCATTGACATGAACAAAAAAAATGAGTGTATAAATAAGAGGTTGGGGAAAAGGTTTTATTTTATTTTTAAAAATCCTTGGCCTTGTCTTCAGGGTTTTGTTTGTTGAAGTGCTGGAAGTCGAACTCAGGGCCTTGTGTGCACTAGGCAAGTGCTCTAGCCACCAAGCTGCACCTAGCCCCTGCCTTTCAGTTTTCATGTCTGTCTGCTTTCTTTTTTTTTTTTTTTTAATTTTTAATATTTATTTATAGTGTTTTTTTTTTCGGCAGACACAACATCTTTGTTTGTATGTGGTGCTGAGGATCGAACCCAGGCCGCGTGCATGCCAGGCAAGCGCGCTACCACTTGAGCCACATCCCCAGCCCTGTCTGTCTGCTTTCTGAGACCTAATCAAGCGTGGTTCTCTGAATACTGTGCTCGAAAGGCTTTAAAACCCCTCGTGTATGTGAACATTACACAGTGGCACAGTCCACCGCGGGGCAAGCTCTGCTCAAACCTGCCTATCAGTAAGCAGTGTGGCTCCCATGGCTGGCGGAGGAACCAGGGGAGGTATCCCGCCTGCCACCTCCCCTCCTGGCCGGCTGTTCTCAGGGTACCTGCTGCTGCGCCTGCTGCTCCTCGATGAAATGGGAATTGGCTAAGTGCAGCTCTCGATCCAGGCGCCCGTACTGATCTGTCGTTCCTGTGCTCCAGGTCTGGCTGCCACTGTCTCCTAGCAGTGCCTGTGTGAATGGGGATGATCAGAGTGAGGAACAGCAAACAGGTACCATCTCTGAACAGTGAGGCATCAGGGTGACAAAGAGTTCTCACATTTCTCACTACCTGGGCCACACTTCTACGGGTGCCTGTGTAGTACAACTTAGGGACTGCCCTGAAGGGCCTTCTGTCTTCAAGCCCTCCCTAGGTCTGTCCCATTAAAATGCAAATAAGTGTCCACACTAACCCCACAAACAGATCTGTACATTGTAAACTGCCTCACAATTTAACAGCACTCAGTCCCTTATGACAGCTCTTCCAAGGACCCCGAGTTTCCAGTCCAACTGGTTTACAAATCTGGAGTCTGTTATTGAAGGACGATCCAGGAAGCTTGGGGGCCTTGGGGGATGGGCATTTCCCCAGGATGACGAGAAGGTAAACAATAGCCCCTCATACACAGAAGGCACAGAACCATCCACATCTGCTGAACTCAGTCTCTGAATAAAACCCGACACCTTTGCTGGAACTGAAAGCTAGACTCCCAGAGGATGCGGGGTTGCTCCCCCAGGCAGCAGGACCACAAGGAGTCGGTGTTCTCCTCCAGGGTTTCTGGAGGCCAGGGGTAGCTTTCCCCAGGATGAACTCAAAGGAGTTTATAGCCAGAAATGGTTAAGTTTGAGAATATCTCGCTTATGGGAGAGGTCAGGAGGGAATGTGAGACCCCTTCCGACTGCTCACACCAGGAGTGCTCTAGGACTCAGAAGATGCTGGTGACTGCAAATCACTCCTCTTTGTGGAGTGGCCAAAGCTTTGTACTAGGTGCTTTTTACCTCTGGCACTACTAAAAGCCTAACCAGTTACTTGATTCTCTCTCTGAAAGCCCCATCCACGCCTCTCTCCATTGGACACTGACCTCCTCCTGACTTCAGAAGTGAAGTCTACTAACAGTCAGGACACAGGGGCCAGAAGCGGGCAAGTTCGGGATGCAGAACACCAACCTCTGAGGCTGTTGTCAGAGAAGCGCCTGAGATACTTACTATGGAAGTTCTTGTTGAGATCTTTGAGGCTCAGGGTATCAGTCCAGTCAAGAGGCTGGATGTGACTGTCTCTGGAGTAAAGCAGACCTATGGCCTTTGGTGGTGGCTCTGCCCTGACCTGTTCTTAGGGATGTCAAGATTTAAAAGATCCGGCTCATTCTAATCCCAAACTCTAAGGACCTCTGTGGAGGACATTGGGGTCTCACGACAATTTTTTCAGTGTCAGAAAAGGGGTAGAGTGCACCACAGAGCTTTAGGCAGGGACCTGGGGCTCCGTCGGGCTGTGTACCGCAGCCAGGGCTATGTTGTCCTACAGTGTCCATGGTCTACCCTTGGTGAGACATACGTCATGTTGTTCAGAGTCATGTAGGTTTTATCGTGAAATAGCTTAGAGTTCATCAGTTTGATCCCCGGGAGTCTCATTCAGTGGGAAAGAAGGAGGAGGAGGCCGAAGCACTGAGCAATGAGCTTGCAGAGAGGTGGAGGCAGTGCTGGTGAGGCTGCGAGTGGCACGGCACCTGGTACCTGGCACAAAGACCGACTGCCCACATGATGCCTGGAGACCCTGGCCCTGCTGTTCCCCGAAAATAGGAGGCCCTGTGACCTGTCACTCAGACTAAAACAAGACTCCAAGTTGTGCTTGGAAAGGAATGCATGAATTCTCACTTCATTCACATTACTTCACCTAAACTACCCAGAGGATAAACACGTTAAAAGTAACAGAGGACAGGCGTTACCTACCTCACTGTCACGACTACTCAGGTATCGTCATTTACTTTCCTATATGCTCATGTGCAAATGACAAGGGAATTCCCAAACTAGCCAGCTGTGGTCATTTATTAGCTTCTTTCTAGAGTTAGAGCCAGGTGGAATGAACTAGCTAATGACTTTTCCTGCCTGTACTATTAAAAAAAAAAAAGAAGAAAGAAGGAAAAAAGGGGAGGTAGATAAAAACAAATCAAAACCCCCCAAACAAACAAGACTTCAAACAGGAGGTCAGGTGATACTTGTTTTCAAAATTAAGGGTCTCAGCAAACACCTACTAGATATAGAGATTTATGTTATAAACTACCAATTCCTAATTAGTAATAACAGTGAGGTAATCCCAAGCTACAAGGCTTCTAAATGGATTACTGGTAACTTTCTGAACTCTGAAAATAAAGCAAATAATATCACTCTGAACAACCTTGTGATTTTCCATGAAATCTTTCTTACTCCTAAAGCAAAACAGATATTCACAGAATTTATAAAAACAATTTGTCAATAAAAATCATCTACCAGCTTACCAACAGGTTAAGGAACATTCTATCCACCAAAGGAATGTAAATCAAATGTGAATTTAAGTTCTAGGTGATGACTGTATATTTTTAAAAGGATCATATTTTAACAATTGGAAATGAGTTTCTTTCATACACCATGAGTAATTTCTTATCACCACTTAAAGAGATATTTAACTTAACACACATTTAAAGTTCTTCAAACCTCTTTGCATTAAATTTCAATCATTAAGTGTCCAGTGAGTTCTATGGGTAGGCAGGTAGTAGCAGCTAGAGATAAAAAATCAAAACAACAATTTTCATCTCAAGGAGCTTGGGGTCCAGCAGAAAGAAAGAGAACAAGTAACTGAGGTCCTTAGAGGAAGCCTGGCATAGGGTGTGTTCAACAGGTGCAGAATAAACCCCTGAATAAAGAGGTCTGCAGTGAGTGCTGAAGGCGGATAAGCAGAGGAGAGGAGAGGAGTGGAGCTGGAGGTGGGAAGCCAACAGCCATGTTGGAGCAGCTGACTGGATGCCATGGTTAGACCATGTGTTAAACCCATGGTCCCCAGGCCCCTGGCACTGCTGGGAAGTGGCAGAACCTTTAAGAGGTGGAACCTAGTGGCAGGTCTTCTGGTCATTGAGGAAATGCCCTTGAAGAGGATAGTGGAACCCCACCCCCTTCCTCTTTCATGTCCTAACCATGAGATGAACAGACATGGCATGCTGCCACCATGGCTGCCTCACCACAGGCCCAAAACCAAGGGGGTCAATGATCATAGACTCAAATTCCAAAACTGTGAGACAGAACAGACCTTTTCTCTTTATGAGCTGATCATCTCAGACATTTGTTATAGTAACAGAATACAGACTGATACACTAGACTTCCCGAAATCTCTCCGTGTCACTCCAGGGTCTTGCTCTTTGTTATGTGATATAGAGACTGTCCGCATTTAAGACTCCTATGTCTAATCATGTATTTTCTTTGACACTTAGATTTTGATGTCTTCTCACCTGCCTATTTTTCCTTTCAGCTAACGCCTGCACAGATGAAGTTGACATCTGATCCTTCATGTCCTAATGAGACAAAGAGAAGAACAAAAAGTGAATGAAAAATATCTTTAGCAAAATACATATAGTTCATTATTATGTTTTGTTTTGTTTTTTTTTAACAAAAACCTTTTATTTTTAGCCTCAACAGTAAAGGAAATAAAGAGACATTCCCTTAAAAAGAGGTAACCTGAAAAATAAACTTAAACAGGAGCAAAGAGGAAGGGAACTAACTTTTACTGGGTTCCTACAACAGGCCAGAAACAGCTCTCACTGAATTTTCTCAACAACCCTGTGAAACAGGTGTTATCACCACTTTCAGGTTGAGGAGACCCAGATCTAGAAAGACATGTGCAACTCTGAAAAGCTGCAAGCCAGTGAATGGTGTCCCTGAGGCACACAAACACCTGTGCTCAAGGACTAGCATCCTTTTAAAAAAACATAAAAAATCACGAACAATATTTATTGTTTTCAAACACAGAACATTTTCATATTCACATTTCTTTTCTTTCTTTTTTTGGTCCCGGGGACTGAATGCAGGGGCATTCACCACTGAGCTGCCTCCCCACCCCCCTTAGGTTGAGGCATAGTCATGCTAGGTTGCTGAGGCTGACCTCAAACTTGCAGACCTCCTGCCTCAGTGCCTCTGCCGCTGGGACTGCAGGCATGCTCACTTACCCAGCTCACTTATTTCTGAGTTAAAAGGAAGTACAGACTATTTCTAACCAGAATGAGTTTCCACAGTGGCATCAAAAGTAATTTTGTATGGAAAGAAAAATAAATGTATTATTAAATCTGGAGCAAAATACTTTATTAAATATAAACCATTTTGCTTTTCACACTTAACCATTACCTGATATACAATAAAATGATTTAAAATAGGATGACTACAATTTTCTTTAAAAAAGGCTGTCATGATACATTATACTTTCTGTTGGCAAGTAGATTATTTTTATAGATGCACATTTTAAGGTATTGATTTTTTTTTTTTTTTTTTTTTGGTACTGGGGATTGAACTCAGAGGCACTCGGCCACTGAGTCACATCCCCAGCCCTATTTTGTATTTTATTTAGAGACAGGGTCTCACTGAGTTGCTTAGCACCTCACTTTTGCTGAGGCTGGCTTTGAACTCGAGATCCTCCTATCTCAGCCTCCTGAGCCACTGGGATTACAAGCGTGAGCCACTGCACTCAGTAAGGTATTTGATTTTGATGGAAACTTCTTCCATGACCCACAGTAAATGAATGGTAGACGAGATGGTACCATGGCTTTTATGATTCCTACTATGGTAAAATTGCCTTCTTTCAACTTTCAAAGCTCATACTCATTCATTCTCAAATATGCATGCCTCTGATACACGCCAGGCATACAGCAGTGAATGACACAAATGAGGCCCCGTTCTGTTTCCATGGAGCTGCATGGTGACTTCCCTGAGTCAGACACCTCAGGTGCTGTTAAAAATGCAGTTCTCTAAGGCCCCACCCAGACCTACCAAGTCAGACTCTTCATGGTGAGGTCTAAACTGGCCCCTGTGGTCTACACAAAAGCTAGATGCCTCAAAGTGAGATGATCAGACAAACTAGTATCTCCTGGATACCCTCTCGATTTATCAATTAAATGAACAGTTTAAGATAACATTCTGGTATCCAAACAAAAAATTCCATTCATTTACTATACATTAATAACTATTTAAAAAATACCTGAGAAGTTCATAGGGAGATAATACAAGCTTTAAAAAATGTGCCCAATGCATTGTACCATAACTTTCTAAAAAAAAATGTGTGTGTAAAAAGTAGTATCTGAGCCTCTGAACGCCGCATATGGAATGTACTCTTGCTGTCAGAGGTCAGGATGCAAGGGGAAGTGGCGACGGTACTGGAGCACCAGGCAGCTGCCGGGGTGCTGGCAGCCCTGAGACGCTCTGGGTACTGCTCAACAAATTCACCACGCTGTACACGTAGGTACCTGAACTTTTCCTGTTATATTTTAATTAAAATGTCTTTTTAAAACATACTGCTCCCAAACAATGACGGTAAACTGGACCAACTCTTTAAAAATAAAAATTTTCACTTCATTTGAAGAGCCCCAAAACAGTCACTGCCTTGACTCACAAATTCCACTAACAGCAACTTACTTTAAGAAAATAACATCAAATATATACCAAAAGAGACGTGCAAAAACGTGTGATGCTATGTTATTTATAATATAGAGCTAGAACTAAGAAGCATATCCAAATAAGGGAACAGCAACTTATACTATATAGTATTATATACTAGACAGTATGCTTATGAAGAGTCCTAGAACGAGACAGCACACAAATGACCAAACATGAGAAAAGACTCTAACCACTTTTAATCTAAGGGCAACCAGAGATACATTCCCTAATTCCACAAGGAAAGAAGAAAAAGCCTAGTAATACTTAGTGTTGGTGAAATATGGAAGCTGGGGGCAGGGGCACATGCCTGTAATCCCAGTAGCTCAGGAGGCTGACGCAGGAGGATCACGAATCCAAAGCCAGCCTCAGCAAAAGCAAGGCATAAGTAACTTTGTGAGACCCTGTCTCTGAATACAATACAAACTAGGGCTTGGAATGTGGCTCAGGGGTCGAGTGCCCCTGAGTGCCCCAATATCCCGGCCCCAAAAAAGGAAAAATGAAGCTAGGCATGGTGGCCGGTAATCCCAGCCGCTCAGGAGGCTGAGGCAGGAGGATCATAAACTTAAAGCCAGCCTTAGGAACTCAGTGAGACCCTGTCTCAAAATAGAAATAAAAAGGGCTAGGGATGTGGCTCAGTGGTAAAGTACCCCTGGATTCAATCCCCAGTACTTCAAAATAAATAAATAAAGTCTTCTGAATTGGGAGTGTAGCTCAGTGCTTGCTCAGCATGCACAAGGCCCGAGGTTCATCCCCCTCCTATGAAGTCTTACTGTAGATACCAAGGAAATACTAACCAATATTTAAAATGTGTCTCCTCATTGAATTCCTTACTACTTAAACAAATATATAGGTTATGCTCACAGAGATAGTTACTGAAGTATGGTTTGCAACCGCTAAAGATTAACAATTAAAGTATCTACTGGTGGGTCAATAGTTAAATAAATCATAACAGAACCAGATTAGAGAAGAGGTTAGCAGCAGGGTCTTTCATGCCAAAAACTTAGGTTCAAAAACTGGTAATGCAGAGAATATCATGCTAAGTGAAATAAGCCTAAAACCAAGAGCTAAATGTGTTCTCTGATAAGTGGATGCTGGTCCATAGTGGGGTTTGGGGATAGGGAAGAATAAAGGAACTTTGGTTTGTGTAGAAGGGAGTCAGGGGAGGGGTGGGGTTGTGGGGACGGGAAGAACAGTAGAAAGACACACATTATTACCCTGTATACATGGATGATTACACTAGTGGAGTGACTGAACCATGTACAGCCAAGGAAATTGAAATCGTGCTCCATTTGTATACTATATGTCAAAATGCATTCTATTATAACAAATTAATTTTTAAATAAAGATAATAGCTGTGCTAAATTGGGCAAATTTCTCAATTTCTCTCTTTCTTTTCCATTTATGGAATAATATCATTTTATACAATCACTGTGGGAATTAATAAAGACATGAAGAATGATTAATAACAGTGGTCAAAAATCTAGTAAACACTCAAGTAAATACTATCATGTAAAAGGAAACAACCATGAAAAGGGGTTATCTAAATCTGCAGCCACTGAGCCCTGAAATGGAGTCAGTAAAATGGAGAAATTAAAATGAATTTATTTTAATTAACTAGAACTTAAATTCAGTTACTGGAAAACTTCTATTCATGTTTGGAAAAAACTGGGTTTGTGACTCTCACTGTAAATTTTATAGATGCTCTCTACAGATGAAGTTCTTCCAATGAAAATCTCACATCTGAATTGACATGTGCTTAAGTGTAAGATACATGCCAGATTAAGCAGTCTTGGTATAAAAAGTTTAAAAGACTTCAATCTCTCATTAATGTTTCTTAAGATTGATTACATGTTCAAATGATAACCTTCTTGATAATAGGTTAAGTAAAATATACTTAATTTACTTGTTTCTTTTCCTTTTTCATGTGGCTACTAGAAATGAAAATGCTTAACACTGAATAATAAGGTCACAACTACGAGAAACACTGCCAGTAGGCACTGAGGAAAGTGACTGACGTGCTGTTAGTTATCATTTCACATTTCAGTTTCTTTTTCTATTTTATCCTCTTGCAAAATTGTTCTAATTCTTTAATGAACATGCATTACTTTAATGAAATACATATTTTAAAGGTGCAATTCTAAAGTTTTCTGCTTAATAAAAAAACTGTGATTGTGTTTGTGTGTGTGTATGTGTGTGTGTGTGTGGCCACGGCTGGCGGTAAAGGGCTAAGTTTTAAGGACAGCACTTTATCTATGTAGGTTAGAGTCGCCAGATACCACATTACGGATCACCTTCGCACTGGGATGTGGAATTCTCAGCTATGTTACTAAACAGTTTTCAACATTTTGTAACAACCTATCATGCCAAAAACATAATTACTCATCTTCTTCCTAACACATGAAGTTAGAACCAGCAGTCAAAAAGCAGTTAGTCCCAATAAAATATGGTTCATTTGCCAAACGAACAATAAATGTCCTGATCATGTTCCTGCTTCCCTCCACGCTGTCTTCCAAGCGGAACCAGAGGCCACATGAGCCCAGTGCTCCCCACTCCTGGGCTTCCCGTCCCAACATCATGTGCACACAGACATCTTACGCTTTCTGATTAACCACTGTCACTTCTTCTTGACTTACAACTGTAAACTAAATATTTCTTGGGTTGGAATAGATTTTTGGGAGGGAGGTGGAAAGAGCAGGGCAATCTGAGTCCCTTTGAAAGTTAAAGTTGGAGAAATTAGTGAGGCTCATTTCATTATTAAAACTGAGATCCAAAGAGACTGACTGATTTACTCTGTTTAAAATTTATTAACGTCACAACTTAACCTAGAACTTAGATTCCCTGACCACTTATTCATTATTGTTCTGCCATATACTGCAAAATTCACTACTAAACTGGAGTCAATTCTGGAATATATTTTCAAAATACAAAAATTTCACATGTGAAATCTCTGATATATAGATGACTCCACAAATAAAAAATGATTATATCAAATATATAAAGCCTATTTACATAAAACTAGAATATTTTGCTTTCTTCTTTTTTATTTCTATTTTTTGTGTGGCGCTGGGGAGTGAACCCAGGGCCTTTGCATATGCTAGGCAAGTACTCTATCACTAAACTACAGCCCCAGCCCAAGTACTTTATTTTCTTCAGTAAAAGCTGCCACCAAAATTTAATAAAGACTTCACAATAGGCTGGGGTAGTGGCTCAGGGGTAGAGTGCTTGCCAAGCATGCATGAGGCACTGGGTTCAATCCTCAGCACCACATAAATGTAATATAAAGATATTGTGTCCACCTAAAACTTAAGAATAAATATTTTTTAAAAAACTTCACAATCTTAAATGACGTGTGGAAGAACATTTGCAACAAGACTTTTTAAACAAACACTGTTTAGCTGAGTGTGTTTCTTGTTTTTGTTTTTACTCCCATTAGCACTGTTGCTGCTTCCTTTTCCTACAGATTTTCAAAATCAAATATTGACTTTAAAATCAAATCAGCAGAAGCTCAGTTAGGTACTGTTACCCCACCACTGGCAAATACTGACACCTCATCCAGGCACTGTGGCAGGCAGCTGTAATCTCAGCTGCTCGGGAGGCTGACAAAAGAGGAATGCAAACTCAAGGCCAACCTGGACAATCCAGTGAGAGCCTTCCACAGGATAAATTTTCTGTTTTTTTTTTTTTTTTTTTTTAAGGCTGGGATATAGCTCAGAGGCAAAATGCTCCTGGGTTCAATCCCCAGGGGAGGGGGGAGAATCCAAACTAACAGCTTCTCCAAAATTAAAATTAAATTTTAAATTTAATAAATTAAAACAAGAACCATTAAAAACCTAAAGCAGTCAGTTAGATCACATAGTTGAGGGTGGTTTAGATCTCAACTCCAGAAGGACAGCAACATTTTGGAGTACTGATGTGATTTATAAGACTAAGATTATACTTTTAAAAAACTCTGAATATTAGAAAATGAACTTTGGATTCTACTTCCAATTATACCAACTACCTTAACTTTCAAAATATGTACCAATGAATTCCAATTTTCAAAATTCACAGTAATATCTCTCAGAAATAAAAATATAATATCCAAGTAAAGATCATACACTTCATTGCAAGGCACCATTTAATATTACAGCTGTGGTCCATGGAAAACAGAAAAGAAGAAAGACAAAAAGAAAGAAAAGAATGCTGTATTTATTTTTAAAAACTGAGGAACTGTATAAAAAGATATGTCACTTAACAACAGGGCTTCCTTATCAGAATATTATTTCAAACTGGCTAGAAATTAGGAGTGTCTAATCCAAACCTTCATTCTCTAAAGGAGGCACCTGAAGTCCAGACACACTTCTGCCCCTTTAAAATATGGACTTGTTTACAAGCAATTTAGGTTTAAGTATATAGAAAGACAACTACTGAATAAAACAAAAAACAATATCCAAAGTTCAGTGATAACCTCCCATTTGATAACATGAAGAGGAAATCACGTGGCAGAGAGTCCTTGGCAAACGTGTACCAGGTTCTTGCCATATGTTAGCACTGGTCTGATCCCAAGTCTTTTTATTCAAGGAAGCTGCTTTCTAGTACATATGTTAAAGACAGCTGGTTCTCTTACATCTAGTTATGCTAATCAAATGGCTTAGCCATATAGTTTCAAGATACAAAACATATCTTAATGATGCAAGACTTAAACCACATCTCTTATTGATTCTTTAATAATGGGTATTATTCTTAATAATTTGGGGATAAAGATTTGACCACTTGACTGGTTCTTTTTACATGTTGAGACACTTGCTTGCCCTGGATAGCTCTGGGAAGACTGTCAAGCAGTGTGTAAGGTAATGTCAATAACATGGGTTCCAAGAGTTCCAGAAGTAATTCGGACAGTGGGAGAGGCTGCCACTCAAACCCAGGAAGAACCACTCTTGAGCAATGCAAGCCAATACTGTTCAGGCAAGAAACCAAACGGCTTGTGCAAAAGTAATCCTTCCTTTTGTCCAGAAAGAATGTACAAAGAAATAGAAAGGAAAAATTAAAGGTGCAGACTGTAGGATCACACTACTAATCTTTTCAAAGCCAGCAGCTTATTGTTTCATTTTTGCTCTAATAACCATGACAATATTAAAAACAGAATTTTTTCTTTATTCAAAGACGCTATATGTGGGAAACTGGCATTTAAGTCATACTAAAAAGTAGTCCAGAGTCAACGTTAGTTTACAATTAATGGAAACATTTCTACAGTTTAGCTGTTTCTTACAAAGATAGCAACAGTAAGAACATACTCCTTACCCTGACAACTTGCCGAGTACTTGTAATGAAGGCTTTTCTTATACTCAACTCGGTAGCATCAAGGTTGAATTTTCTAGGATTTGCTTCAACTATGCGTGGGTCAAAAAGTTAAGGTAAAGCCATTTCACCATCGAAAACCTAACAAACAACATTTTGTTAAACCACAGAATCCCTCACATACAAGCAATAAAACCCAGCCCAAGCCTTCTGTAAATAGTCACCTTGATGCTAAGCATTTTCAAACTTTCTCTGCCTACAGCTACACAAATGCCCTTCTGCTCCAGGATGACCTGCCAGATCAATCTCTGCTAATTGGGCTCACTGAAAATCCATGGCCATCTTGACCACAGCTGGGCCTTGCTCCCAGCCAGCCTGTCTCTGTCCACCTCTTCCCACTGCCACTGTGTCCTCCATGCCGTGGTCTTGTGTGACCCCCAAAGCCTTCTTCTCTGCCCTTGGGACCCTGGAGTATCACCCCAGGGTCCCAGGTCGAGGCCCCGAGATGCCCACTCCCCACAGTGCCCAGCATGGCTGCTGGTGGGCATCGGGCAGAATCTTCTTGTTGCTTACCAACACTTTTGCCCCTCCTTTTTTGACTTCTGATTTCTTTTCTCATGACAGCTTTTACAAGCCTTTCTCAATTTGCCATTCCAAACCACTTCCCCTTATGCCAAGATTATAAACCACCCTCTTAATTTAGCAGGATCAAGCCTTCAGGGAAGCTGCCCTTGACTCCTTGCCCTCCAGCCTGGTACAACTGCATAAGATCAGACACTGGGATAGCTCGGTACTTCTTTCTCATAGCCTGCCGTTATGTATTTGTGTTGTTATTTGATTAATATCTGTTTCACTGGCACTCTTAAGTTCCATGAGGGCTGGTATACTGGCTTACTTATTAATCCAATCTCAGTAACCAATAAAATGCCTGGTCCATAGTATACTCAAGAAATGTTTCCTGAGCTGAGTGGGGATGGAGCTCAGTGGTACAGCACTTGCCTAGGGCCCCGGATTCAATCCTCAGCACCTGCCAAAATAAAAGTTTGCTGAATGAATGATGAAAATCTTTCAAAACTTGTCCTCTTTATCTCACAATTTATCTCCCTCAATCTTTTTTCCTTTCCTTCGGTCTCAAGGAAAGAAGTATCTCCCTGTATCTATGGTTTTGATTCTGTCCCCTCCCATTTTATTTTAGGGAACATACTCGACTTTTTTTTTTTTTTTTGTAGTTGTACACAATAACTTTTATTTATTTTTATGTGGTGCTGAGGATTGAACCCAGGGCCTTGCTCATGCGAGGCGAGCACTGTACCACTGAGCCATAACCCCAGCCCCCGTATTTGACTTTTAATAATTTAAATGGTATCCAGGGTCATTATTACAGAAATCATGCACTGAACATTTTAACTACACATGAACCTGTGCTAACTAGTGAGTGATTTTTTTACAAAAGCTGGTTTCCTTGATGTTTTTAATCTTGCTTAAAACTCAGAAATGCAACTGGCAGATCTTCTATCTAAAGTTTTCATAAACAGGATTTCCAATTTAAAAAAGCCACATAATTCAGCTTCACCAGTTCTCTAGGTTGTCAGCCAGATCAGTGGACTTAATAAACATCAATAGCATTAAATTAGTATAACTAGTTCTGCTTTTACTAAACTCAATTTCATGGCACAAGATAACTCTCCAATGGACAGTGGCATTTTAACATCACTTCTTAAATAGGAAGAAGTCTACAAGAAGATTTTCTTTTAATAACACTAGTCTGTATACACCTCTCTGTAACAGGAACTACTAATACTCTTTTTTACAATACTGGGGACTCAACCCAGGTTCCTGCATGCTAAGCAAGAACTCTAACCACTGACCTACACCTCCAGACCAACCACCAATACTGTCTAGATGCTTACTATGTGCCAGGCCCCATTCTAAGCTCTTTTCATGGGTAACCTTCTTGACAATCCTATGCGTTCAGTACTCTTGTTATCCTTTCTACTGAAGAGAAAACTGAAGCACTGAGAAGTTTTACAACATGCCCAAAGTGCCCAAGCCACTGTTAGTAAGTGCTTGTGATACTGTAATATAATAAGTGTATACTGGTCTCTGCTCCTGGTATACAGCTCCTAAAACCCTTGGGATCTCTGGAGTAATAAAGGTCATTGTGTATGTTAATGAGGTGACTGATACCTGGGAGCTCCTAGATAACCTTGGGAAGAGGGCTGGTCACCAGGGAACAAACTGATCAGAGGGTAGGAACTTTCAGCGCCGTCCCCCACCACCTCTGGGAAGTGGAAAAGAGCTAAAGATTGAGTTGATCACCAATGATCAATGATGTAATCAATCATATGTAATGAAGCTTCTGCAAACTCCATATGGCCAGGGTCTGGGAGCTTCCAGGTAGCTGGACGTGTGGAGATTCCTAGAGGGCAGTGCCTCTATATACTTCACCCTACAAATTTCTTCCACCTCACTATTCAATCTATGTATTTTTAAATATCCTTTATAATAAATGGGTGAGCATAAAGTGTTTCCTGAGTTCTGTGATCCGCTCTGGAAAATCAACTGAACCTCTGTGGAAGTGGGGATCGGAAGCACAGGTCAGAACCTGGGGCTTGTGAGTGGCACCTGAAGCAGGGACAGTCTTGGGGGCAGAACTCTGGATCTGTGGGATCTGATGCAGTCTGCAGGTAAACAGTGTCGGAGCTGAAGTGAAGTGCAGTAACCCTGCTGGTGTCTTCTGGCTCAGGGTGCTGGGAAAAACTCCCATCTGTGTGATGACAGAAATATTTTACTGACTGTGAAAGTAGAAAGAAAAAACTGTTTCCACTTTTACACTGGTAGAGCCACAGCCTGAACACCCGCGTCTCACTCCAGGGTCCAAAAGTCACAACCACTGCACTATGCTGCCTTTATATTGCGGAATTTGTCATGTGCTGTAGAATAGGGCTGCTTACTTGGCTGACCGGGCAATTATTTTAAATGTGTCATACTACAAATAAGAGGCACATCAACAATTATAACAGGAAACGTCTCATCGAGGTACTTGAGACATCTGGATAAAAACCTGCCCGTTTGTCGGTTCACTGCCAACAGCACAGACACCACAGAAAAGGATATTGATGGTCTCGTCAAGGTCCTCCAGATCCCACTCTATGCTCCGGAGGTTGTTTCTCAGCTCGTTGGTGGTCCAGTCGATCTCTTCCCTGGTTGCTGCAGAGGGGTCCTGCAGAAGCTCTGTCCATCTCTGAAACAATCCCTGGGCAGTGTTGACTGCTTTCTGTACCTCTCTGTAATCAAGATGAAGGGAAAGGAAAAGTCACAAACAACGTGTGGCATGAAGAAGTTCCCGGGTGTCTGAAGTTAGCATGGAGCACCAAAGGCCACCCTCGGCAACCACCATTCCCACAGAAGGAGGCTCTTCAGACGCAAATACCAAAGTTGAATCACACAAGCTCTGTATTATGTTCTCAGCTGATGCCCAGAATAAAATAGCCATTATTTAAGCAGCTACAATTCCAAGTTGTTTGAGAGGGACACATTTAATTTTTCTCTGAAAAGATTACACTTAAAAGTCACACAAAGATGCAATCCTGCCAATAAACTAAAGGGTCACTAATATCCCCACACACTTCCATGTGGGTGACAGTAATTTATATTCAGATGAAAAAGTCCTTGTACAGGCTTTCTTCTCTTGGGGTGGGAAGTGGGGGAGGAAGGACTCTCTTGACGGCTTGTGTTGTAGAGGTTAACTATTTTAGTCTGAGACATTTTTAAACCAAAGATTTCATGAGAAGATTTCCAAATATTATTAGTTTTAAATATATCTATTTTCCTGGATTAAGAAATGTTACATAACAGATTAGCATTTTTCTTATTTGGAGTGTGAGACAAGCCTAGTAAGTGCTCTATCTACATGCTTTTAGGTTAGATATCGTTGCAAGATTTTAAGAACTATCCTCCCCATGGGCCAGTACCCACCATTTAAATGTTATATTCTAACACTACCGCATTAAAAACCAAAGAGAATCATTTTAGAATCTCATGGTTTCTCATGCACAATCATTATAATCTCACTGCTTCCAAACTAAGAGAACTGCTTTGATCCTCCCACAACTTCTCCACCAATTCTTCTGGAACAAACAGCACAAAAATGTGATCTAGCTGATCAGGGTGTCTGTTGTCTATGGCTTTACAACAGAATTTGCATACATCCTCTTCCCTCTGACATTTCAAACACCAGAAAAATCAAAGCACTCATAAAAATAAAGAAAAGCATCTTATAATATTTAGGTCTATAGGGTACTTATGAGAGCTGAAAGGCTGAACATTAAAGAAGAGCTAGTGGACTTGGACAGAGTAAATCAGTGCACCCACCAAGGAGGTCCACATCTAGTTCATGGGCTAGGCAGTCCTATCAACTGTTCCTCTCATGTCAGCCTACAGACTTTCAGTACTAAAGATAAATTCTATAAAGATAAAATCAGAGAGAATTAAGTAAGATGTAAATCTACTATCTTTACTCTTCATTAAAGTTTCTGGTCAATTTGGAAGAAAATGAGGATGGTATCCTATATGTAAAGTAGTTGGCTTATTTTTAAGTATTTAGTATTATCTATGATAATGAAAAACAAAGAGTTAAAAGGTATCTATAAAGACATCTCATTTTAAAGAATATAAAATTTCTCAATTCTGTAAATATGAATTCCTTTTTAAGAACTAGAAGCCTCAAACCAAGAAACCTTGCTGGGCGTCCCGTACTCTCCACGCCAGCAGGCAATTTATGACGATGCTGGAATTAAACTCCAAGTCGCAGTGTCCTGAGGCTTGGCCCTGATGCTCATCAGCACTCACAGGTTCAAAGCACTTCCTTTATGCTGATGACTACCAGACCACATTTCTAACCCTAACCCCTCACCCAGGATTAATTCCTGTATTTCCATTCCATTAGGAACATTCTATTTGTCTTAAATCAAACTAATCACAGCCTGCCTACAAAAAAATCAGGTACTTAAACATGCAAACAAAGCCAAAATTAAAAACAAGAGGGAAACCTACTTACTTCCCTTTCTACCAGTACCATTTCCCAAGTCTCAAAACTCATCTAGACCAAAGCTGCTTTGCCTCCTCCTTCCACTTCTCATCTTGCACAACCTCCACTTGAGTTAAATCACTAGATTTTTAGATCTGGAAGGAACTTTCAAGATAATCTAGTCTGGACTCACTGAACAAATAAGAGAGCTGGGGCTCAGACAGCTTGGCTGCTTGCCTCAAGTTCTTCTGACCCTGAGTGTGAGACACATTCCACTATTAAGACCTATTTAATCCCATTTTGCAAAGCCTCCAGACAAATCTATTTTCTTTGTGGAATCAGAGGATCTGGGTCTGAGTCCTTGAAAGGAGCCTGTAAGCCAAACACCTGCCTCCAGCAGGGCAGAGCTGCGAAAGCCTGGGACTCTGAGTCAGCTGCTAGGTCTTCCTCCCATCCCCTCCTGGCTCACTGTGGCTCTGGCCTGCTCAGATGCTTCCCCAGCCAAGGAGAAAGCAAATGAAAAGCAGACACTCCCTTTAAGTCCCAGTTTGAGGCCTAATTCCTTTATTAAAGTATCTTTCCCCAACATTCCCAGTGTGGGCCTTTCCTTTTTTCAACTATTCCAGAATCTTGCACACAATATATCTTTCACGTATCCTGGCCCAGTGTTCTCCAAACTGGATTACTTATTATAGTAAGTGCCTGAAAAGTTGTTTCTACATTAAAACATCTGATTCTACTAGACCAATACTGTCAATACAAGTTTTCTTAACAGTGAATGAAATGCATGATGCTTGCCCTCATGTGGCTTATAATTCAGCATTAGGAAAGCAAGATATTCAGAAAAGAGAGACAATACAACATACACCGTCTTGCTTAACTGCTTATTTACATCATTATTTCAACACCAGTCCACAGCTAAGAACCCAGAAATAAAACTGTCCTTGTCAGGAACACAAACCCCTAAAGCAGCAAAATGTCAAGGAGCCACACAACCGTGATTTTTCTTTCTTTTTTAACATTTCTAGTTGTAGATGAACAACACCCATATTTTATTTATTTATTTATATGCGGTGCTGAGAATCAAACCCAGTGCCTCACACTTGCAAGGCAAGCTCTACTAATGAGTCACCACCCCAGCCCACATCGGTGCCTTTTACCAAAAGGACAGACTCACTGGGCATAACACACAGTAATGTACCCATACGATACTCTGGATTAAGAACAGATGGCACATGTGACAGTGGTCCTGCAATCATGGCCTGGTGATGTCACAGACACCTTGGTTTACTGAAGTACATCTATGATGTCTGCACAACAGTGAGCCATTTCTCAGAATGTATCCCCATTGTGAAGCAACTCGTGGCTTAACTCTTGTATCTGAACAAGCTCAATTATGTGGTTTTTCTTAGTGGCTTGTTATTAGAAATTGCAAATTCTCAAAGGCTAAATGTTAAAAAGTTACAAGACCAAAAACTCATCAAACACTGAATAGTTCTTACTGAACATAAGGATTCTTAGTGAACATAAAGATGAAAACAAAATTCAAATATGGTATTTTTCACTCATCAGTTTCTTTAAAAAGAAATTCTTAAGTACAGATTTACTAAAAATGAGAATCTGGGGCTGGGGTTGTGGCTCAGAGGTAGAGCGCTTGCCTAGCATGTGTGAGGCACTGGGTTCAATCCTCGGCACCACATAAAAATAAAATAAGGGTATTGTGTCCACGTAAATAAATATTAAAAAAAAAAAAAAAGAGAGAACCCTTGTACTGGCAAAGAATTAAGGGAAATAGTTCCCTTTAACAGTATGAGGGGGAAGGGAGGGTGTATTTCAGATGGCAATTTGGTGATATGCATCTAAAGTTTTGTTCTGTATACCCTCTGAATGAGCAATTATACTCTAGGAAAATAGATTATGAAAATAATCAGAAGCAGCAATAAAGACCTATAACAAATGGATCACCACCATATTAATTGTTAATAATGAAAAATTAGAAGCAAAAATGTCCATACTAAGAGATAAATTATATTTATGTCAAAATATAACACAGTAGTTAAAAGTCCCCTCCAAGATTGTCTAAGGATATAAAGAAATACAAATGAAAAGATCATGAAGTGATATATAATGTATAATCCCAATTTCTAAACTATTAGTAATACACACACACAAACATATCCTGGCCTTTCTACTTAAACGCTTATAAACTTGAAGAAGTTATTTTTTTTTTTTTACTAAGTGTAACTTTCCCCATTATAAAATGATAATAGTAGTAGTACCCATATCATTCTTAATACTGACTTAAGAATGGAGCTCAATAGTAGGGTACATGCCTGGCATGTGTGAGGCCCTAAGCTAGATTTCCAGACACCATACACACACACACACACACACACACACACACACACACACACACCAATCCCTGTTTTGAGATTTTGCTCTGAACAAGGCATTGAAAACGTCAAAACCTCTCAAAAGGAGCTTTAAACACTCAGGCGCTAATCGCTGTACATTTAAATTACAACAGTTATCTCCTTTTCCATTTTCCCAATTTTATATTCTTAAAACCCTAATTTCATGTCATTTCCCTGCTCCAAAAATCTCTACTGGCCTCAAGATGAGGTTCTCCTCAGGACAACATAGCTTGGCCCTATTCTAACTGTACTGTGAAGTTATTAACAGTTTGAGTGGAATTGGGCTACTCATATGTGACTCCTAGGTCCACTTAGCTGTGTGACCCAGGGCCAACAAGCTAACCCCAGTATGCTTTCTCAGCCAGTTCCTCCTCTCTAAAACGGTGTGAGTACCCTAACAAAGTGAAAACCCATACAAAGTGCTTCTTTCGCACACAATGCCTGGCCCAGAGATGCAGCCTTTAAACCTTAGATATTATTCTCACTTTTCCCCCCAAAAATGCATACTGCACTGGGCCGCCCCTCATGGCCTCTGCTGGCGGTGTCCCCACCCATGAAGCACTACTCCTTCACCACCACTACAGACAAAGAGTACACACTCAACACTATACAGTCAAGGTGCCAGGCTGGAAATACAGGAAAAGCAAACAGTCCCATTGCTCAGAACTCACAGTCTAATAATGAAAGACAGCCAAAGAGAGGTGCAATGTGTCGCGGGTGCCAAGGGAAGCCCTTCCTGGAGGCAGTGGAGATACGCTGAATCCTGAAAGCTGAGTGGGTGAATCAGGCAGTGGGTGCGTGTGGAGTAAGAGCACCCAGCATGGCAGGCACAGTCACTGAACGCAGCCAGGCACTGCTGGAACACCAAGGCTGAGAGCAGACAGAAGGAGTGGAGGCTGGAGAAGAGGTGGCTTCAGGAAAGTCCCTGCACATTCTTCTGTAGGCAACAGACTGCCACTAAATGACATTAAGTAGGGTGTGGCTGCTTGGGCTGAGAAAGGCTACTTTGTGCTGTCCAACACTGAAGCCACAAAATAATGACTGATTAAAAAGTAGCTGGCGAGACTGAGTAACTAAAATTTAATTCTAATCCATTTAAATTTAAAAACTGACATGCAATTCAGTTGGTAGAAAACTACGGTGTATGTTTGGAACAATTAGGGAATATGAATTTACCTTTTCAACTGTAACTAATGAACGCTAAATACAGATCAAGTTTTTTGGGGTTTGTTTGTTTGGTACCAGAGATTGAAGCCGGGGGCACTTAACCACTGAACCACATCCCTAGCCCTTTTTTACTTTTTATTTAGAGACAGAGTTTCCTCTAAGTTACTTAGGGCCTTGCTAAAGTTCCTGAGGCTGACTTTGAACTTGTGATCCTCCGGCCTCAGCCTCCTGCACTGTTGGAATTACAGGCATATGCCACCATGCCAGGCCAGATCAAGTATTTCTGATGAAAATTTAACATCCAAACTGAAATGAGATGTAAATGTACAGTAACACGACAGATTTCAAAGAGAGTATAAAAAGCAAAATATTTCATTAATAATCTTATACTAATCATATGTTGAAATAATATTTTGAAAATATTAAAGAAGACATTAACATTAATTTCACCTGTTTCTTTTTACTTTTATTTTCCCCCCTTAAAAATTCCTGCCCGTATCGGGCAGGAATTAAACAATCCTTGTGTGTCAGGCTCCTGAGGGGCTGGGATTACAAACACACTTCTTCTTCTTCTTTTTTTTGTAGATGTAGTTGAACAGCATGCCTTTATTTTATTTGTTTATTTCTATGTGGTACTGAGGATCGACCCCAGTGCCTCACAAGTGTTAGGCAAGCGCTCTGCCACTGAGCTATGGCCCCAGCCCCTTCTTTTTACTCTTTAATGTAGCTACTAGAAAATGTAAAACGACACATAGCTTGCATTATATTTCTACTAGACAAGACTGACCAAATAGATCCAAGGGGCTCAGCACAGTGGCACAAGCCTGTAATCCCACTGGCTCAGGAGGCTGAAGCAGGAGGATCACAAATTCAAAGCCAGTCTCAGCAACTTAGCTCAAAAACAAAAACAGGCTGGGGATGTGGTTCAGTGGTTGAGCACCCCTGGGTTCATCCTTGGTACAAAAAATAAAATAAAAATTTTTTTAAAATCCAAAGGCAGAGGAAAGAGACTCGAAGCAGGAAGACCAATAATAAATCCTTTCATGAGTGTCCAGTAAGAAAAACAAGCCTGAGTTACCTAAATTCTGCCCACCTTCAAAACCTAACTCAAGACCTACTACAATTCCAAAAGTGCCTCCCATCATAACCATTCCTAAGGAGCTGCCTTTCTCTGAATTCTTGGGATGTTTATCATCTGTAGTATTCACTACTTCCTTAATCATTTACCACCTGTCATTTTTACCTAATTTTGGGGTGATCTGTTTCTCAGATTAGACTAGAAGCTCCTAGTCCAAGGACCATAATTTAGATGTCATTAATATCTCCACATTGTGTAAAGCATTTCAATACATTTACTAAACAGAAGCAGCACAGGGCTCCCCAAATATGCCATCACACAAACATCTGGAGACAACCTTGTGACTGACTTTACCTTCCCACAACAGAAAATAGTGAGAATCTCTTTTCCTTCAGGCATTTTAAGATGATATAAATGTCAACCAAAAAACCAAGCCTGTGTTCCACTAAAGCAGTGATGTCTAATAAGCATTGATCGACTATATTGGATACTATTAGGAAACTGTCAAGATGACAGTGCAATTAGGGTTTTCACAAATTGCAAAGTCAAAAAACAAAAATTCTGATTGTCTTCAATCTCAATCTCTACCGCCAAAGATAACCTTTGCATCCTAAGCATTAAGAACTTTCAACACTCATCTTTAAATTTTAAAACTTAACCCCCAAACCAGTTCTAATAAATAACACTTCCCAGGGAGGGAACTATATATTACTAGTAAATCTACATCTTGCCATTTTCCCATCTAAATTAAAGTAAGATGAAAGGGGAAAAAATATGTTTTAGTGAAATGTTAAGAAATAGTTGGAATATATTTTACTGTATCATGAATAATAAAGTATTTCATCTATAGTACCACTGAAATTTTGGGGGAATCCTTAAATACAAAACATATTTGACAGCATACAGCTTAATTGGTCAGATTTTACCAGTACAGATATTGGAAGCTAGTAGCAACTAGTTGAAAACGAGGGACACTTTATGGTTATTAGTAATCCTCTTCTTGGATTGTAACAACTTTGCAGCTGTCAAGGTTTTTAAGTTTGTTTGCCATTCAAAACACAAAGCTGAAGAGTTATTAGAAATAAGACACGAGAACCGATCTTTCTTGAATTTGTTTAATGGCTACAAAGTTGTTACAACCAAGTGCAACTGAAGTTTCTATCTCCAAACAACCCTACAATCAAAGATGGAGTCAGGACAGCTCCCAGGAAAAAATAAGGCTGTTCAATCCGGTAAAGCAGAATAAGAGGTGGGGGAAACCTGTCAAATGGTCTGGACAAAATCAAGGAGTTAAAATGAAACACTCATTTCCTTTAGCACTGTGGGAAAATCCCGGTTGCTCATAGAAAGCTGAGGAAAGTTTAGTTTGGCTGGTGTCATTTTGTTTTCCTTCCAACATCAGCACCGAGTCTGCAGGACTGCTTTCCTCCCCTCACATTACTCAGTGAAAACTCCCCCACTGAACTGAGCCGTCTTCCGGTGCAGTGCTCCCCAGCCTCCCCGATCAACACCCGCCCCCGCCGGGCTCCCTGCAAACGTGCTCAGACGCCTCTGGGCACGTTGTGGTCTCGCCGGTCTGCGGGCGAGCGCTCCAAACTCAATGGACAATGGAGCTCACCTCCGTCCACGCGAACTACAAAGCACGGGAGGGCCATTTCCCTTTTCCTGCCCAGATGCTGTTTTCCCTCCTTCGAAGCTGGATCGGAGCTCGACGACAGTCCCCAGTCCTCTTTCCACACCTGCAGAGCTCCACAATCTCTCGATCCCCAAATAAGTTACACCGCCGCGCACAGCCCCAAAGGGGACCCCCTGGGTGCTTGGTTGGGGACCCGGGTTCCACAATCCAGGTAGGACGGGAAGGGGATGTCTCTGGACGCTTGGTCATGGCCTTCAAGGCTACCCTTCCCTGTCCCCTCTCCAGCCTCAACTTATCTCCCCTCTCCCTACAGCAAGAAGACCGGGGAGGCACGGGTGGCCAGCACCTCCACCGCCAAGGCCTCCTCCAGTGGAGCCCTCGCCAACACTCACCCTTTCACCACAAAGAAGGGGTCCTCCATGGACATGGCGTCCCGGCCCCCTCCGCCACTCCACGCACAGGGCGCCCGCGCCCTTCTGGCCTCCCTCCGCCCACCCACCGGCCTCCAGGAGTTGTCGGCGCCTCGGCCTGGGGTACCCTGAGCAGCGGGCGGGCGCGCAGAGCCTGGGGTGCCCGGACCGTCGCTGGTCCAGCCCTGGATCTGCACGGCGGGTCGAATCCCGGACTCCGGCGCCAGCCCCCGCTGCAGCCTCCTCCCCCGGCTCCTCCCGGCTTGTCTGTAGGCCTGACCCCGCCCCTAGACCTTTAGCCGCAGCCAATCACGAACGCGGCCCCACCTCCACTTCCGCACCCGCGCTCACGTGACCAACGCAGGCCCGGCCCCCAGTCGGCAGGCCCGGGGCAAGCGTCACGCGGTTCTAGGGGCGGGGCTCGAGGGTAGTGGGGCGGTCTTCCCCCGCCTCTCTGCTCCAGCTTCAGCTAGTAGGCTCTGCCGGATCCCTCAGACTGAGGCGTTGCGGTTTTCTGGAAAGCCTTTGCTGTGCCTGATTTGCATAATCCTTTTGCCTTTCCTCTATTTCTAGTACTTGATTTAGATCATAGGTGATTTATAAGTCCATGTCATCCTCGTCTTCTAATAAAGCACTCTAATACACACTGTCTGACCATGATAAGGCTGCACAACTCTTATGTAGGTCGAGCAGTGTGCTGAAAGGTTTTATATGCATTATCTCAATACTCTGTGGGGAAGGTATTATTATTTTCATTTTGCAGGTGAGAAAATAAGTTCAGAGAAGTTTCAAGATCTATGGTCACACAGGACTACAGAGTCTGTGCATTTTCCACCAGATGAGGTATGTGTTCTTTGCAGGGCATTACAGCTTGAGTAACTTTTTCATACAGCCTGTGGTATTTCCCAGGAGAGAGCACCTTTGAGAGACAAAGAAGGGTATAGTAGCTGCCTCTCAGCTATGAGTCAAGGCGTTCTAGGAAGCATTTTGTCCAGAATGATAAGCCGATTCATATGTTAGATGTGAGTTTGTGGGTGGGGGATGGGAACTTGAATTGCTGAAAATCACCAAGCCACTTTACGTGTGGTGCATTTGGCAGGGTTCTAAGTGTTATCCTGTTACTCTCACAATGAGGTAATTATTGTTATTTATTATCTGCATTTTATGAATGAGGAATTTGAGACTGGAAGATTAAGTGACTTGCCCAAGGTCAGCAATCTCATTGGAGCTGACAGAATAATCAGAATCACACAAACACCATTGGAACCTGCACTCTATTGCTCAATTCCTCGTCTTTAAAATGTAACAATAATAGATAGCTCATTGATTATAATAAAGGTTCAATTTAAAATGCATGTAAATGTCAAGGTCCTAGAGGAGGAAGGTAGTGAAGTCAAGGACACCAGTCCAGAAGCTGCTGTGGTCATTTGGCCTGAAATGATAAGGGTCAGACCAGGATGATGGCAGATGAGAATGGAGGAAAAGGAGTGAATCTGAAATATGTTTCCAAAGAAAAACAAAACAAAGCACCTAGACATGATGAAGGAATGAAGAGTTGGGGAGCAAAGAAAAGAAAAGAGATGAAAGTCAAAGAGTTTAGGTTTCTTTAAGACCTTGGAGGAGCAGGGGAGGGTAGATGTGGGCAAAGGGAACTCTTGGAAAAGAATTGCTTAATTTGCCTATGGATATAGGGAGGGGTGAAAAGGGGTGATCATTCATTCAATAAACACATGAACATTGAGGGGCAGTTGAGTACAGAGATTAAGAGTCCACTTGGAACCTGGTGGTTTGAATTTAAATCCCAGTTCTGCCGTTTCCTGTTATGTCTTGGGAAAGCTGCTTAATCTCTCGCTTTCCTGGACAGTGAAATGGACACCCACAGTCACAACACCTTCCCCATAGGAGGTCATGTGTTGTGCTCCTACACTGTTCCAGGCACTGAGGACACAGAAATGAGTAAGGCTAGGTCTCTGACTTTAAGGGACTCTCGGACCACCGGGAGAGACCATAGTTAAACACAATGAGAGAAGGGCACTGTTGCCATAGAAACAAAACCACAGATACTGGGATGCAAGAGACAAGGTACACGTTTATTTGGCATGTATAATGGCTGAGGGGTTCCTAAACAGTGGCTAGAAGAAGCCAGCAGAAGGGGTTCATGATGCAGGAGAGCCGTGGCAGAGGACATTGCTGGAGTAAATGGAACGGGCAGCCAGAACTAAGGCTGGGAGGTAGGCAGGGTCAGAGTTCTGGGATCCTTTGTTTGTGATGTGAGGCACTGGGGGCACTCTCCTGTAGATCATGTGGACTGAGGGAATTGGATGGGTCAGACTGTGGCAGCTGGAAGGTCATGGTCCAGAGGAAGGATGAAAGTGTCCTGAGCCAGGTTCACAGCAACTAAGATGGAGAGGAAGGTGCATTAGAGAACTTTGATAGAGGCAAGATCTGTAGAATTGATTGATTGGTCCAGTGTGCACCGAGGTTAGTGAAGGAAGAAGGAAGGCTTGCAGGGTTCTGTGGTTGCAATGGGGTAGTTGGGTTCTAGTCACCAAGAAAGGAATCACAGGGGGGAGATTTGATTTGGGTGGCTCTAACTTAATTGCTAACATGTTGGTCTTCCCACCAAACTTAACTCCCAGAGGGACTAGATACAATGTTAGTACTATCTGCACCTCAAGGCCTAGCACAGCCTCTTATAATCTGATCCATGAACTTATTAATTGGACCACAAGTAAGAGATCAGTTTTATAAGCAGAAACGGAGAGTAGAGGACAGAGGCTTGAGAAATTCTCATAATTAGAGACTTGGGAAAAGAACCAACAATAGGGAGGTAGTAGCAGACTGAGATATGAACTATGTGGGGGTCTGGGAGTGTGCCTTTATTAAATGTGTCATTTTCCTCCACCCTCTATCAGACTAGACCTCACCCTGCCCTGTCCCAGGAAAGGGAAGCTTTAGCTAAAATGCAAGGAGAAACAAAGGAAGTTATTTGTTGTTTTTGTTTCCCCATTTAATAGGTCCCAGGTCCCAGCATAAACAATGGCTTGAAGTGAATACTCAGCAAAAAAGCCATCTCCCCACACCCTACCCTCACCACTCAGATTTCTGATGGAGTAAAATATCCAAGTAGTGGTTGCCTTGAGGAGGAGAGTATTGACTGGGAAGGCAGACCTTCTGGGAAAATAGAAATGCTCTGCATCTTGACAGGGTGTGGGTCACACCAGTGCACACTTGCCAGAACTCATCCAACCGTGACATTGAAATTCTGTTCAGGTTGCTGAAGGAGGCTGAGGCGCCAACTCTGACTTTTCTGTTGAGTCCTGAGAGGGCATCTAGCAGTACCTCTGGTACCTGAGTGAGTCTCCAAATGAGATAGATATTTGAGAATAAAGATAGAGATACTGAGGTTCAAAGGGAGTGACCGTAAATCACTGTAATGCAGGAAACACCCATGAATCATTGAAATGCAAAAAGCAAACATGAACAATTGCACTCTTGACCCATGCCCTTGTAAAATGAGGGCAGTGTGCAAGGGCAGGGAAAGCCAGCATGAAATTATGTAGCCCCACCCAGCCTCCATCTCTAGTCCAGTCCCTAGCACCATTCCTCTATAAATATGAACACCACACACCAAACGGGTTGCTAGCTCTCCCTCTAGAGATAGCCTACTAGAATTCTCCCTTGAATATTATTCCTTGCTTTACCCAGAAGGCGTCTCTCTCTTGAGATTGCCCCTTTTCTCCCTCAAATATACATCTACTTTCCTAAATAAACCTCTGTCTGTGTCTTTGACTGGCACTTGCTGAAATTCTTTTTCATCACGTATGGCAAGACCCCCACTGGTCCCAAGTTCAGTTTCCCCTTCTCTCTGGGAACTCCTCAGACCCATCCTTAGAGATATCTGTCCGTCTCTGACACCAAGTTAGGAGAATGAATGATAGAAGGAACTTCCTGGGGTCCAGCAAGGTATCTTGTGATGAAATAAGGAGCTAATAATGTGGACAATAGGGTCCAGGTGGCCAGGCCACAGAGTGGGACTATTTGTATGATTTGCTTATTTCACTTAGCATAATGTTCTCCAGGTTCATTCATATTGTAGCTTCTTGCAGAATTTCTCTTTTAAGGCAGAATGATATTCCACTGCAGACACACAGGACTTCGCTTGTCCATGCATCCTTCAGTGGACACTGGGGTTGCTTTCATCTTTGGGCTGTAACGAAAAATGGGGCTGTGAACACAGTTGCATAAATTTCTTCAAAAAAAGCTTTTAACTATTTTAAATACATGCAATACATCAGTGGAATTGCTGAATTATATGGTAATTCCTTTTTTAAATTTTTGAATAACTCTTTTACATAGTGGCTGCACTATTTTACATTTCTACTAAAAAATTTGGCAACTTTTTACAATGAAATATTTTCTTGAATAATCAGGAATACAAAAGTTAAAAAAAAGAAGAAAAGAAGCATTCATAAAGGAGAAGTGAGTCAATCAAGTGGTCACATGTCAAAAATAACATAGAAGTTTTAAATCTTTTTTGGAATAAGGCAAGTTAGGTATAAGGTCCTTGCTTAGTATCTGGATGGCCATCTTAAGTGACACCCACCATTTTTTAGGAAAAAGTTTTGCTTTCCCATCCAAGGGCCTTTCTGAGAAAGGCTTACCACTCCCTCACACCAACCCAAACCCTAACCATGCACATTAGGACCCGCCCAGCTCTGATTCCTGAGCCTGCCCCATAGAAGTCCCAGAATCCAAGCCTGTTTTGCCTCTCTCCGCCATAGAGAGATGGCCTTTATTTGTCAGCTCTGACAAATAAACTCTCATGTGTATCTTTGCCTGGTTGCCATCTTTCTCACTTACCTGTCTCTCCTTCCTCGCTTTCCCTTCATTTTGGTGCTGAAATTTAGGAAAAGGTTCCCCGGAGTGCCCTCTCCCCTCTTCAAGGCTCACTGAGCATCCCTGGGCTCCAAACTGAATTCTATCGTGGGACCAGGCCCTCCATTCTGCTGAACACCTCTCTGCACCCACCGCTGGATATTCCAGGTAAGACCTCTGTCTCCAGTTGACCTAAACGACTTACAGGTCCTGAGAAATGTTCAGCACTCCCAGGGTCACCGCATGGTCGGAGGCACCCCCAGCCACAGCTTTCACAAGGCTGATCCCTATCAACTGGGTCTCTAGGTGGTCTTTTATTTGGGTCCTGGGTTTTGAGAAAAAAACACTGAGTTGATTGGGAGTTGTTCCTGGTGAGACCACGGCCTTGGATTAATCTCTAT